GTTTAGCTGAACTACCTACCAACAAAGTTTAATCAATCAGAGCCTGCTGATTTTACATTTCTCATTATCATTATCCACAGGAAAATATTGCTAATTCCAATTCAACTTTTTGAATGCCAAAGTCATTACTATTCTCGACTTACGACATCAATTCGGACCAGACTTTCTGTTGCTAAATGAGGCAATTGTTAAGTGGTTTGCCCCTGATTTTACAATCTCTTTGCCCCAGTTGTCTGCAGTTGTTAAGTAAATCATAAGGTTGTTAAATGAATCCAGCTTTCCTCATTGACTTTGCTTGTCAAAAGCCAGTTGGGAAGGTCACAAATGGGGATCACGTGGGCCCCGGGACAGGCTCAATTGTCGTAAATCCATACTGGTGGACAAGTACTTTAATTTTGATCACACGTCCACGTGGGATGCTACAACAGTTAAGTGCAAGGGCTGGTGATAAGTCATTTTTTTTAGTGCTGTTGTAACTTTGAACAGTTGCTAAAGGAGGGGCTGTAATTGGAAGAGTTGTGTTTTCCTTTTGGCCAGAAGATAATTGACAAACTATCAAAGATCATTTGCACACGTTCGCATTTTGAAATAGTGGATGATTCCCAAATTGTTAGATGATGATGATTTGCTTATCCCTAAATGTAATAATGTGTATTTTGGAGAGATTAAAGCCTGGGCTGTGATTGTCTTGGGAGGGGTGCTCTCGTATCAAGTGGGCTTACACCCGTTTCCGATATCCTTAGGCTTCTGAAGGCCTGTGGCAGCAGACTGACGGAGAAGCTTCTGGAGGGGGCTCCAACAGAGGACACCTTGGTGCAGATGGAGAAACTCGCTGGTAAGGACAAAAGCCTTTTTTTGCAGGACAATCTCGCTCACGAAAAGCCACCTTCCTGCTTTCCCTGTGCAGGAAGAAGCTCAGATACCCTCCCTTCAAAATCTTTTTTCTCTCGAGATTTGGAGGAAGAATCAGAAGCCTGGGATAACTCGGAGGAAGAAGATGGAAAATCGCCTGGCCAAAAGGACGTCCGTGAAGGTTCTGGGCGAATGACGAACCAGGCCGATTTCGGTCTTCTGGCAGACTGTAGCAGCTGGAATGGACCGGGCGGGAGTCAGTCTGTCTTCCGTTCCCTCCGGCATTTGAGACAGGTAAGGAATGGCCTGTTGGATCACTGGTAAAGGACAGGATGGCCTTTCCCCATCCTGACAGTTTTAGGAGGCTGCCGAAGTACACAGCAACATAGAGAAAATAAGATAAATGAATAAACATAAATGTTAAATAAAAAAACAGATATTTCCCGAACTTGGGAAGCGTGGTGTAGTGTTTCTCAAGCTTGGCAACTTTAAAAGGTCTGGAGTTGAAGTCCAGACCTCTTAAAGTTGCCAAACATGAGAAACACTGGTGTAAAGTAAAATTAAAAGCAAAAAATAAGCTTTTAAAAACTATTTGTTGTGTCTTTCCCAGGTCTTGGGGTCGTTGGCGTTCCGCATGCTGGCCTGGCATGTCCTTATGGGCAACCAGGTCATCTGGAAAGCGCAGGATCGAGACCTCATCCAGTCCGCCTTTGATGTCCTGCGGGTAGGAAACATGGTGCTTCCTTCTCTGCCCTGTCCTTTGCTAGTGGATTTCTGATTGGCTGGGCCGCCTTGACGTCATAATACGGGGTGGGACAGGCTGAATTCTCGTCCCCGTGATCCTGTGTGGGGGTTCCTCAAAACAGTTGAGAGTTGCATTAATGGATGTTTTTGGTCTTGATCTTAATCAATCAAACCATTCCAAGCCTCTAGAAACTGGGAGACTTATACAGCAGTAGGAATCATAATAATAATGATGTTACTGTTTTTATCGTTCCATGATAGCATGGATGTGTTGCACAACCTCCAGCCATGGGCATCTTGTTGCCTGGATCTTTAGTCAATTTTAACACAGGTAGCGCGAAATTGAGCCCAAAATTTACATTGCTAAGTGAGACATTTGCTAAGTGAGTTTTGCTCCATTTTTACGGCCTTTCTTGTCACAGTTGTTAAGTAAATCATTGCAGTTGTTAAGTTAGTAACACCCTTGTTAAGTGAATCTGGCTTCCCCATTGACTTTGCTTGTCAGAAAGACTGTCATAAATATGAACCGGTTGCTAAGTGTCCAAATTTTGATCACATAACCAAGAGGATGCTACAACGGTCGTAAGTGTGAAAAACAGTCATAATTCGCTTTTGTCAGTGCCGTTGTAACTTTGAATGGTCACTAAACAAACTGTTGTAAGTCTAAGACTACCTTTATTAATATTTATTATTTTAAAATGTTTTTCTTTCTTAGCTAGTCACAAGCTAAGATGGGTGCCATACAAATTGAATGAATGAATGCAAATCTTCAGATCTATCTTTTCCATAAAATCTGTTGCCTCTGCCTGTATTCAAACTGGATTCTCACCCGCCTCCCGTTCCTTTGCTAGACCATGCTTCCGATTGGCTGCGTCCGGATCATCCCATACAGCGACCAGTATGAGGAGGCTTACCGGTGTAACTTTTTGGGCCTGGGTCCTCAAGTACAAATCCCGCCTCACATTTTGTCCTCTGGTAAGAGCGATTCTTTCTCTGTCCTCCCCAGGCTGCTAACCCTTTGCTTGTCTTGGAAATCGTGATGGTCAGAGTTGGGACTTACGAACACAGTTGGGACCAGAATTTCTGTCATTAAGCAAGGCAGTTGCTAAGTGAGCCACGCTGGATTTTACTACCGTGGTTGTTAGGTAAATCACTGCAGTTGTTAGCGTCATTAAGTGAATACGGCTTCCCCCACTGACTTTGCTTGTCAGAAGCCACTTGGGAAGGTTGCAGATGGCAATCAGACAAACCTGGGACACTACAACCAGTTGCCGAGCAGCTGAGTTTTGATCAGTGCTGTTATATAACTTCAAAGGGGCGCTTAAGTTGAAGACTATCTCTAGGTTGATGCTCCAGATGCAGGGACAGTAGCATTTTAGTCACTCGGGATGGCTCTCTCTACTACTCCTACAAACCTGGGGATGGCGCTATGAAGAAATTCTGTTTTTTGCTCCAGAGTTTGCTGTCCTGGTGGAAGTTCGCCCCGCCACACGGTCAAGCCTTTACCCCATCCTCTTCGACGACGACCAGCCCCTCAGTAAATACGAGTTTGTGGTTACCAGCGGCAGCCCTCTGGCAGCAGACAGAGGTGAGCCATGCGTGTTTAGTCCAAGCCATTTTGGGTCGAGAGTCGCAACACCGTGCAACTTCACAACCAAAAGGAGTTAGGTTATGAATTTTTGAAAAGGAACATCCTTTGTCACTTTGAAAGGCATCTGTTGTACAGATAACAATGCAGGAGAGAGAGAGAGAAAAAAGTTGGAGGGGTGTCCGAACAGGGCAGTGGTGATTAAGAAGTAAGGATGGAAAAATTGGATGGTATTCAAGTCCTTCTTCCCATCTGCAGTTGGTCCCACCATCCTGAACAAGATTGAAGCTGCTCTGATGAATCAGAACCTCTCGGTCGATGTGGTGGACCAGTGCCTCGTTTGCCTGAAGGAGGAGTGGATGAAGTAAGGTGGACTTTTCGCTTGAGAAGTGGTTGTCTTCTAGAGTATTCTTGCATGCTTCCTTGAAGGAGGTGTGCCGTGTGATCTTCAGAAATTTCATTTTTAAAAGAACTGGTCCTGGTCTGCAACTAACGATTCTTTTTTTCTTTTTGCTTTCTGCAGTAAAGTGAAGGTCCTCTTTAAGTTCACCAAGGTGGACAGCCGGCCCAAAGAAGATACCCAGAAGTTGCTGAGCATCTTGGGGGCTTCTGAAGAGGATAACGTGAAGCTTCTGAAGTTCTGGATGACGGGCTTGAGCAAGACCTACAAATCGCACTTGATGTCCACCGTTCGCAGTCCAACTTCTCTGGAGGCTCGGACCTAGTCTGAGGAATTCTTGGGTTACGCTAGGGGAACTCTGTCGATCCACTCATTTTGTGTGGGATGAAGGAGCTCAGATATTCTGGGGCAACACTCTGTAGACCGACTGAAAAGCCAAGGGTGAAGGAAGGGCTCTTGGCCTCAAAACTACCTACATCAGGGGTGTCCAACCTTAGCAACTTTAAGACTTTTGGACTTCAACAATGCAACTTTTACAGCGTTTTCTTTATGTTACCGTGAGATTAATTCAGTTCTTTATATTTTTAACTGCACAGCTACTTATAATCTTTTCTGGCAAGAAAAGTAATTCCGAACGTATTTTATATGGCATTTTTAAAAGGGAGAAAGATTAATAAGAGATTCTAATTTGTTAAGTTTATTTTTGTGAATATGCTGAAATATTTATAGTTGCTCCTTTTCAGAAAGATTTCTTAAATATTTTATGACTTTTCCTTCATTGTGTAATTCATGGTGTTTGTGTTGAATTTTTATTTAATGTGTGTGTAAAAATGCACATAATAAAAGGTTTTTCCCCTCAGAAAAAAATCATTTTTTTTAAATCAAATGATGTTTAATATTTAACGTGTACTAGGAAGCACATAAGTTTTGCTTTGCAAAGTTTTTTTAAAAAAAGTATCTCCACTAAAAGTTCCAAAAAATGCAGCAAACAGGCTCTTTCCTCTATCATTGTCACTAATTTTCCTTCCCAATTATAGTTAAAGCTGGTTTTAACCAAGATAAATTAAAAGAGTTAGAACAGTGTTTCTCAACCTTGACCATTTTAAGGCATGTGGACTTCAACTCCCAGAATTCCACAGCCAGCATCGCTGGCTGTGGAATTCTGGGAGTTGAAGTCCACATGCCTTAAAATAGTCAAGGTTGTCGCCTCTAACTCCCACAAGGCCTGAAGAGCAAAATCCCGTCTGGGAATGATGGGAGTTGGAGTTCACGCGGCAGAGGGATCGCCAAGGGCAGAGAACGCATGCGGGGCAAAAAAAAAAAAAAAGTATTATGAGAAGTGGCGCATGCGCTCTTCTTTCCCTTAAGTGGAGCGCATGCGCGCCTCTGGAGGCGGGAAGACCCGAGCGTGCGGCCATGTGGCGGGTCGTGCTGGCCGTCGGGCTCGGCGCGGCGCTCGAGGTGCTGCTGGGCTGGCTGCTGAGGCGGCGGGCGGCGGCGGCGACCGAAGTCATCTTCTTTCCCTCGACGGTGACGTGCACGGAGGAGCTGCTGGCCGGGGCGCCCTGCGCGTGCCCGCTGCCGCACGGCGAGAGCGCGCTGGCCCGCCTGCTGGCGCACGTGCTGGCGGCGCGGCGCTCGCTCGACCTCTGCCTCTTCGCCTTCTCCAGCCCGCAGCTCGGCCGCGCCGTCGCCCTCCTGCACCGCCGCGGCGTCCGAGTCCGCCTCGTCGTCGACGCCGACTACATGGCGCTACGCGGCTCGCAGGTCGGGCCGCTGAGGAGAGCCGGTGAGGGGCGGGGCCGCGGGGGCGGGACGGGGGCGGGGCCGGAGCGTGCCGGCCAATGAGGGAAAAGGAGAACTCGGATCATGGGGGGGGGGAAAGGAGGAGGAGGAAAATCAGGGCGGGGACAGGGATGGGCGGGGCTGGTGGAATCCTGGGAGATATTATTACTATAATAATAATAGTTGGAAGGGAGCTTGGAGGTCATCTAGTCCAACCCCCTGCTCAGGGGGTTGGACTAGACCAGGGGTTCTCAACCTTGGCAACTTTAAGACTTGTGGACTTCAACTCCCAGAATTCCTCAGCCAGCTTTGCTGGCTGAGGAATTCTGGGAATTGAAATCCACAAGTCTTAAAGTTGCCAAGGTTGAGAAACACTGGACTAGACAAATGGCTGTCCAGTCTCTTCTTAAAAACTTCCAATGTTGGAGCATTCACCGCTTCTGGAGGCAGGTTGTTAATAATAATAATAAAGTCGGAAGGGACCTTGGAGGTCATCTAGTCCAACCCCCTGCTCAGGCAGGGAATCCTGTACCATTTTTAGACAAATGGCTGTCCAGTCTCTTCTTAAAACTTCCACTGTTGGAGCATTCACCGCTTCTGGAGGCAGGTTGTTAATAATAATAATAAAGTCGGAAGGGACCTTGGAGGTCATCTAGTCCAACCCCCTGCTCAGGCAGGAAACCCTATATACCATTTCAGACAAATGGCTGTCCAGTCTCTTCTTAAAAACTTCCAGTGTTGGAGCATTCACCGCTTCTGGAGGCAGGTAGTTCCACCGGTTAATTGTTCTCACTGTCAGGAAGTTTCTCCTTAGTTCTAGGTTGCTTCTCTCCTTGGTTAGTTGGTCCATTTCTCTTCCATTGGCCCAAAGCTGAGAAATGCCCCTTTAAGCCAAAGGTCTCCAACCTTGGCAACTTTATTAGTTGTGAACTTCAACTCCCAGAATTCCTCCTAGTATGGCTGGCTGGGGAATTCTGGGAGTTGAAGTCCCCAGGTCTTAAAGCAACCAAATTTAGAGACCCCTGCTTTAAGCCATTGGGTGGGGCACCCATCTGGTGTCTGGTGGGGGGGCAAGAAGAAGGAGGAACAAAACCACAAATACAACCAACCATCTAGAGACAGAAAATTGGAACGAACCATTAAGAAGTTGTTGAGGAAGCAGCAACAACAGAATGGAAAGTGAGCAAGTGGAGACCTTGTAATGAGTGAGTTGGGGGGGGTGTGATTGGATTTATTTACCCAAACACAGCTACCCAGCCACAGTGAGGCTGCAGGGCAGGCAAAAGGATTTGAACCCCAAACCCTACATCTGAACACATGCCTGGGTTTAGGACATCCCCTTTCAAAGCCATAAAGGGGAAGGCAATCCACTCCCGGGGTTGGTTTAAGCTCCCTGCCCAATAGCCCTAAGGAGCATTCAAGTCTGTCTTGAGGGTGGTGTCTGAATGTGAATGTGGTCAAAAGGAGTGAAAAGGGTGGGTTATTTTGTCCCCTTGGGGAGAGGGAAACCATGGGTGGGTCAAGAGCATCAAGCTCTCCCTGCTGTCTTTGAACCCTCCTGGGCAAGCTCTGTCCTTCTGGACATGAGTGCAAGGCCACAACAGCCCTTACATCCCAATGCTTTGGTCACACTGGCCTGGGGGGGGGGTGTGAAGAGAAACATGAAAATATGCAATGAGGTGGAAAGGGTTTACAGGATACATGGTGGAAGAAGGGGAAAAAAATAGAGAGATTTGAGCTAAGGCAAGTGGATTGAGGACAAAAGTGGGTGATAAAAGACTGAAAGATGAGATGGTTTGGTCGTAAAGACACCCATCTGTGTAAATTACTGTTAAATTTGTATGCCTCTCATCTTGTCATCGGGTGACTCTCCCAAGCCCAATTGAGCGACCAGCCAAATGCTGAGTGGGGTTTTCTCTTCTTTCAAAGGGATTCAGGTACGCCATGATCAGGACAGTGGCTACATGCACCATAAGTTTGCCATCGTGGACAAGAAAGTGTTGATCACGGGCTCTTTGAACTGGACCACGCAAGCAATCCAGGCCAACAGAGAGAACGTGCTGGTGCTAGAAGACCAGGCTTTGGTGAACATTTTTCTAGCAGAATTTGAAAAGATTTGGGAAAACTACAATCCTGCTAATTATACATTTTTCTCTAAACATGAGAAAACTGGGATTGAAAATGGATAAAAGCTAATTCTGGGACAAAAATACAGCATGACAAAAAAAAAGGTTTGGGAGCATTTGGTTCAAAATTTCTCGTGTTATTTAAGAAGGACATAATTATCTTAAAAGATAAGCAAGTCAGGAAATACACAAACAATGTATTCCTAAGTGTTCAGTAAATTTACTTTCCAAGGAATAGAACTTGAAATAGACTTTATTAAGAAGGGATATAAAGCTGCACTGTTGCAGAACAGAATACAAAGATGGAATTGTACACTGATCTTTATAAGCACATTTCCTGCATTTGGGAAGTTAACATTCTAAGATGTTACCTTTAATCTGTGTACTTATACGGAATCAGGTCTCGCATCTGAATTGAAAGAAAGAAAAGGCTCAGGAAGGCTTAAGAACAACTATCTTGTTTTCCAAAGAGCAGTTAAGTTGGGAGTCCTGAATTTCTATGTGTTGCTTGTTTGATTTGAATTCTGGAACATAAGAATTATAAGAACCTGCAGCAAAAAGTGGAGAGAGGCAGAATTGTCTCACTGCATGGTGTATTGCATTAGGAGGCAACATCCAGCCATAAGTATGATTAGTTTAAATATTTCTCTGTGTCAAAGGATATTCGGAGTGATGGCTTTAACTCTTGCTGTTACTTAAAATTATATTACAGATGAGAAAGATTCCAAGAGAATTCTTTGAAGAAATGGAGGTAACTATATTAATAGCTAAATATATTGTCAGGTCTTAATACCTCTGTTTGTTTAGTTTTTCTAATGATTAAAGCTGTGGTTCCAGAGAGCAAGCGTGAATGGAATTATTGTACCACTTTGGGACACTTTAACAGCCAAGTTATGAAATAACTACACCTACCTCTAGGAGGGTCTGGAGTGGGGCAGTTTGATCAATATTTTATTTTTGTGACTTCCATTTCTCCTTTTTTTGCCATACTTGGAACAGTTCAGCAGCATATACTCTGTTCCACATATCAGCAATTGTTACATTTACGGGGAAGCCAGCATCACGACCCATGACTTATAATAAAATCACATTTAAGCAGTAATTCTGAAGGCCGTGTCATCTCCATCTACCAAAAAATCTTCATTACAGCATACCAAGGGTGGTGCAAAAATAGTTTATTACGATATAATTTTATGTATAGTTAAGTAATTATATTTACAAAATCATCAGCTACATCCATGGGAACCCTAGCATGTCACAGAAGGTTTGTAAGGAATAAATACCGTGACCGAAGTGATACTTCTACAGTGAACAGTTGAAGAGGGAACTAGCTCCCTTAAAAGCATGAAAAGACGCCATTCGGAAGCTCACTAAATTCAAAACACATTCGTTGAGAAAAGGAGAGGACGCATTCATTGTTCAGCAGCTAAGTTTGCCGGGACTTCCACGAGTCCTCTTGGTTTGAATGGACTGTTGGTTGACACCTGCTCTCCAAATGGACTCTTCCTACACCCTAAATTTTGCCGGAAAGTGTGGATTAGAGCAGTGTTTCTCAACCTTCGCAACTTTTAAGATGGGTGGACTTCAACTCCTAGAATTCTTAACAAGGTTGAGAAACACTGAATTAGTCATCCCCAACACTCAGTTCTCAGATGACCTAGCGATCCAATCAGCTATGGTCAACTTGGTGATGCTGCTCACGTGGGACTTAAGACACAGACGTGGTGGCCTCAGAAATCTTCTGAAATAAGGCGCTCACGAGTAGCCCATGAAGATGGGCCCCCTTGCAGCCTATGTGCACAACCTCCCACACCCTCTCCTCCAGGTTCACATAGGTTCATGTGGTAGGAACAGATCAGCAGGCTCTTCGGCCGCTCAACAACAATGGCATGTAGACATTTATGTGTGGTGGTTTCTTACACTGAAAGTAGTGACAGTGTTACTCCATTGAAACAAGGAAATAACACCTATTCCTCATCACCCAGATCCACTGTTAACAGCAAATTTTATTGACTTATGCAGAGTTATGGCATAGCTAATTCCATGGCAAAACCAAGATTTTCCCTTAGGTACTTTAGGACTATTTCCCAGCTCTTGTGGTCAGTCACCGGCTCAAATTCTACCAGCAAGGGTATTCTTCCCCTCTGAAAACACCATTGGGGTGTATCTTAGTGTAACTTTAAAGGGAGATATCAAAACTACAGCAGCTGTATATTGCCATGCTGTGACCACCGTGCAGAATGGCATAATTCAAATTTATGGACGGTGAGAAGCAACATCTACTTAATTTCCTCGGAGAACTGCTTGGTTTAATCTGCCATAGGGTTAACGTGCAACAATATGGTGTACCTTTGATGACTTAAGAGATGCTACCATCACCATTGCTCAGTGAACATGCAGTGAATGCTCAATTTATTGGACCTTCAGTCGATCAGATCAGATAAAATCCATTGGCCACTCTGTGCATACATACAATCCTATTCGTTATTTAATGGACATTCAGGTCTAACAAACACCTTCCTATGAGTCCATTAAACTGAGTTTACTGCAACATATCCAGGGTTATTTGCGCCACTATCCATTACAAGCTTACTGAAGTGAATGAGGAAGAAAACTACTGTATAGCAATTAAGTTTTAAAACACTGTACATATTTTTCTTTGGAGAAGCATTTCCAAAACTAAAAAGGATCAGAGAAATTTAAAAATATATTTATAGCATTCAAACCAACCAACCAACCAACATTCTGTAAGGGAACAAAGCAGGATTTCAGGTTACACTAATTTCCTTTCAACTCCAAAGGAAATCTGTATTAGAACAAGATTAAAAAAAGAAAGTCACCCCATAAAACCCTCCGCGAGTTTTTGCATAATAAATATTTACATGGCGTGCTTTGAATACTATACAGGTCTTAAATTATTTTTAGAGAATAACAAAGCTTTAAAAAACAGGGAAATAACAAAGGAAAGATAGGCGTGCATGTGCTTAAAGTGTTCACAACAAAGTACTGAATAAGAACCATTGAAATGGAGAAAAAAGAAGTCCAGTGGGATTCTAATCAAGTATGTTGTCATTACAAAAAGCAACACTCTCCCCCCTAAACATCACACAGGGCTGCTTGAAGGCAACCTCTGTCATAAGAAAAAACAGCCTGGTCAGATTCGTGGATCAGCACAAGCGATCCTCCTTTTATTTCTTAGCAGGAAAAAAGGAAAGCAAAATGGCATCAAGAAAAGACAAGAGTCCTGCTTTGAAACAAGGAGAAAAAAGACAAGATCGGCCATGGACAACATCCCAAAAGCCGTATTTCAGGTGTTTGCACAGTACATCTGCCTGTGCTAAACCTCCATCAAGAATACACATTTCTCTTAAATCTCCAAAGTACAAAGAGCCATTCAAGAAACGCATGCTTTCCCAAACACCCGCTGGCTTGGTTGCGTAGGGACAGCCCCTTGTTCACAGCAGTAAAGTCAGTTTTGTGCGAATGGAGGTGGGGTGGTTTTGCCCGTCTTTCAAATATCGCTTTCCATGTTTTAAGAAACCATCTTGGAATCAGGACATTGTTGAGAAAGGGACGGGATGAGCTGCAGGGATTTTTCCCAGAGACCCTTTGTTAGTCCGCCGACAGATTGTTATCAAGTTGCAGGAAAATCATGCAAGAAAAATTAAATTCTTCTACCCCAGTGTTTCTCAACCGTGGCAACTTGAAGATGTCTGGACTTCAACTCCCAGAATTCCCCAGCCAGACATCTTCAAGTTGCCACGGTTGAGAAACACTGCTCTACCAGTTCAACCTCACCTGTGTGAAGGAGAGAGGAAAACAGAGGCCTGCGATACCATTTCAGGGGCAAATGCCACCACCGCATCTTCTTCAGCCACCTGAGAAGGTGCTCTCCAAATGCCAACATGCATACACCAATCCTAACAATTGCTTTGGGGCTGCCATACCTACTTTGAAAGACACTTCTAGACCCTCAACCAACAATTTGCAGTCAGATAGGGAAGACTGCTCAGAGTTAGGAGAGCCACAAGTCCTGAAGGAGAAAAGCCTAATCTCTAAAGTAAAAATAAGATCTCCTTAGTCTTAGCCACTCAGGGCAGCTACACTTTGCAAAATACTATTGTTGTGGCATGTCAGACACAACCAGGAGCCTGAAATTCATACATTCCCCAGCTGCCTTTAAGGTAGTGCATACTAAGGTATCCTTTTGCTTCAGGTCTACCTGTAGAAAACAGGTGTTTTTGTTTTGGAACAACTTAATTTCATAGGTGTCTACAAATTCTAAAAGCTGCATGCAGAGAAAAGAAATGGACCAACTCATCTCTGAGATTAGCAGGACTTTGCAATTGGGCTTGACCCAAAGTTCAACAGTTTATAGTCCAAGTAAGCAGCAAGAAACTCAACCCAGTAAGAGCAAAAACTCCATCTTAAGGGACCTCAAATTTGTAGAATTGGGCTGGAGCACTCTAATCACCTGCCATGTGGAGAAGAGGGAAACAAGGCTTGTTCATAATGCTGAAATTTTAAGCACCCACTTCCAAGGTGTTCTGTTCATCGGATTTGGTAAAGACATTTAATCCATCCTAGTGCCTTTCTTGGGAAAGTTGTATATACATTCTGGATCCCAGCGCATCAAGCAATCTATTCATTGCATTTTTTGGGTGGGCCTAAGATATGGGAGGGACAATCAAAAGTCGTGCAGACCTTCATTTCAAGTGGATGAAAGCACTCAAGATTCTTTGGATCATGGTTAACCTGGTCTTTTTTGAAGGCCACTTTTAACTGGCCTTTTAGCTCCAAACCCATCTTCAGGTGTTCCTTTGAACGGTATATCCCTTGCACAGACACCGCCAAAATTTACAGAAGACCTCTCTTGCCAGTCAGAACCTCTGCTTCCCTTTCTCCTTTTATTTACAATTTTGTACCACTGTGGCATGGTGCAATGGGACCCAAATAGATCCTCAAAGACAAATATAATCCATTTTTCTTTTTCTTTAAAAGTCACCTTGAAGAAGTGAGGATCTGCACTTTAGGATAAGAACCAGTTTCTCTGTCCTCAGCAGACGAGAGAAATGTCTTGAAATCTTTTGGATGGATGCACAAAACCCACCGAGAATATGGGGGGAAAGGTGAATCCAACTGGAAGAGGACAGTGATTGGCTAGCCATTTTAAAGACTATGTTTTTTCCAAGATCCTGACTAAGGTGGGATCTGCCACCCTTTAACCATGGTTCTAAGCTGGCTTAGTAAAATAAATTCAGAAGATTGCTAAGCTACACAAAGGACCGAATCTCTGCAAACCACACAATATCAAGGACAGCTCAAAGTGTTCTCTTTCCCCCTTGTGTTTCTCAATCATCCAGGGGTGTTGGGGGGCTTGCTTTGCCAAGCCGAGTTTGTTTCAGAATGGCTCAAAAGATGCGCCTAAGTGCTGTGTTACTCTTCAACACTGGTGGAGCTAAGCTGGAGGTGTGTCCTCCCTTTCCCAGGGCCCTGTTGTGATACCAACACATCAGTAAAACAGGGCTAGCTTATAATAGGCTGTTGAGCCTTAATACTGACACTTAATGTAGTGGATATACACTAGGAAAGAGATAAATATATATATTTAAGGGAGAAAAATCTTCAATCTCTCCCTGTCTTCTTGCCCAAAGTAAGGACTTTTTAATTCAGGACTGTCAAGACATCTGTTTAATCTAGTATTTCTCAATCTCATCAATTTTAAGATGCTTGGGCTTCTACTCCCAGAATTCCCCAGCTAGCTATGCTGGCTGGGGAATTCTGGGAGCAGAAGTCCACGCATCTTAAAATTGATGAGATTGAGAAACAATGATTTCATCCCTTTGATGGTGGACAGAAAAAATGGTCTGGAATTGCTCGGTCTGTTCATCGGGAGGAGCTCTAGAAAAATTCCCGCTCCCGGCCAAGCGAAACGTAGTCATAAAAAAAGATCAAAAAGGTGGGGAAAGAAAGAAAGAAGGATGCTCGTGTCGTGATGCGTCAAACAAGGCGGTGCACATGGCCAAGCCGGACATGAAGGAGAACATTAGTCTTTCTTCAACTCCTTGGATTCAAAGAGCTTCAGGCGTTCCTGCACCGTCAAACCTTCCTTCAGACTCTGGAGAGGAGAGAGAAGAAAAAAGCAAACCATGAAAGGCCGCTCTGGTGGAAAAGACCAAATCCCACACAGAGATGTTCAGGCAGAGGAGATAAAATAGCAAGAGACAAAATCCTCAGCTTTAAGATCATGCGGAAGAAAGAAAAAGCACCATTATGGAGAGGGGTTACTGGAGAATCGGAACCTGATGGAGGAAGAGCAAGATGACCACAGGCGCAGCTAACTGGAGTGACCCCCCTAGAGTTGCCTTCAACTCCACAAGGCCTAGGGAGTTGTCTTTTCCCTATAACGTATTTGCTCCAAGGCCGTTTTCTAATGTCACTATGGGACAACACATTAATACTTCATAAAGGAGGGGGTCTCTTGTAGAACTGGGATTACAGAAGGAATGTCCAGATTTTTTCCCCCCCTAAGGAACCAAGATCCTGGCTCTCTCATTCATGGTGGTAAGAGCAGAATGTCATGTCTCCTTTATGAATCAGAGAAGATTAGGCTTTAGCCCTTGGATTTGATTGCACAAGGTCAAAACCAAAAATTCCAGTGCTATGTATCAATTCAGACAGAGGAAAATCAGTAAAAACCTAGGAGGATGTTTTTTCTTCACACTTTCCCCGTCTCTTGTACTTTTTGCTTTCTTTCTTTTTCTTCATATTAGTTGTTATTATTAGTTTTAATCTTTTTAAAATTTCAATTAAAATTATACATATACATGTACCCACACATATATAATTTTACATTTTATATATATGAATACCAAGATAGATGCACCACCACATCTAATGGGTACAGTAATTTCTAATTGCAAAACAACTGGAATATTTTCCTTGTGCAAACAATACCAGCTCTCCACCAATAGCATTAGCACTTAGATTTATATAACACTTAACAGTACTTTACAGCCCTCTCTAAGCGGTTTAGAGAGTCAGCCTCTTGCCCCCAACAATCTGGGTCCTCATTTTACCGACCTTGGAAGGATAGAAGGCTGAGTCAACCTTGAGCCGGTCAGGATCAAACTGCTAACAGTGGGCAGTTAGCCTGCATTCGAACCACTGCGCCAACAACTGTCTATTTGCTGACAGTTTTGTATCCAAAACTAGGGACTCAAACATGATTCTTCACTCGGAAACTTGTGCCTGCTGAAGAGTGGTCAGTGGAAGCATGCACAGTCAATTCAACATGCATCTTCTCATGCTCCACAGAGCTCCCACATGTCAGCCAAGATGGCAAGGAAAACTTTTGATGGATGTCAGTGAAGACAAGATGAGACAGAAGGGTGGATGCAGCCACTGATCGGGCATGAGGGGTCTGTCCCTGCTCTACCCAACCCAAGTCCCACAGCTTCTGGGGAGTGGGTGGGTGGAGGGAAGAACCTTATTAGCTATGGAAACGTCAGAAGAACATGCATTTGTGCACTGCAACCTCCGAGAAGTAGCATTGTTGAACCGGTGGGTGGTTGGATTACCTACATGTCAGGGACCCTGGAATCTGGTGCATTTCAGTTATCCCATGAAGCCTGCTCAATTACCGACTGTTATCCGAAGTGAAGACAAAGAACAAAAACAAAAAAGACATAAATCCTCTCCTGGGCTGCAATGCAAACAACTTTCTTCACAGGACTTTAAGGAAGAGGCCAAGACCAAATGGCTCCATAAATCAACAACTCCGTAATTTTTTTTAAAACCCCCCCCCATAATAATTAAAAGCACAACCAGTAATAAAGGGAAGCTGCACCCGAAGGAAATTGAACTAGGTCTTCTGGTGCAGGAAGTACACAGAGAAAGGGGCAGAATACCAACAAAATCAATGGGAACTTAATTAATAAATGATAGAACACCTTTCTCGAATCTGCCGGTCCTTTCTGTGAATTTTGCTGGGGTTCAGATGCTTACGAAGAGGGTGGTTTTAGTTCAGGGTTGGCATTCTTTTCCTAATAGTTAAATGCCACGTGTGTACCAATATGCAAGGAGAGAAGGGTGGACCAGAGCGGGCTAAGGAACTAAAGGACGAAGAGGTCCACCCTTGTGGACTACTGGAAACTATGTTCCCTTGAAGCAACGTTTGTCAAACTTTAAGACAAGGAGAGAAGGGTGGACCAGAGCGGGCTAAGGAACTAAAGGACGAAGAGGTCCACCCTTGTGGACTACTGGAAACTATGTTCCCTTAAAGCAATGTTTGTCAAACTTGCCAACTTTAAGACAAATGAACTTCAACGTGGCTATCTGGGAGTTGAAGTCCACTTATCTTAAGGTTGCAAAGTTTGAGAAACACTGTCCTAAAATCTCATGCTTTAAATGTGTTGCTTATAACTCAAAGCACAAAAGAATGAATGTTCTTGGCTGCATTTTCTTGGCACACTTAGGAAAGTAAATCGCTTCTGCTCTCTTCTGGGTTGGCTTCTGAAGCTAGTCCAAAGCCTTGGAATTCTCAGATGGATTCCCCTACCCAAGTATTCTCCAGGGCCTTCCCAGCTTAACCTAAGAAGACCTAAGTTTAGTTGGATGTTGCTACCTATTGAGGAGAAAACAGCCACCAGTGGGACAGCTACTTAGGTGTTGCACGTCTAACCATGTCTTACAGGGAAGATGGAAAGACCAAATCAACTCACCTTTGACCTGATATTTCTTAGTTGCCGGCCAATGCTGGTCCTTTCCTTCTTCAAGAAATCAGGATTGCTTTTCGATTTCATAATATCTAGGTAGGTAAGAAGGAAAGGAAGTCAATAAAATTCCTTTGAAAACTTGCAGGTCATAGTTTTCCAAACAAACATAGATAAAAGAAAGTCACTATCTCAGCCTCTTTCCCCTCAAAGCAACAACACCCCAATATACATATTCCTCCCTCAAGTAATCCAATTTCACCACTAATTCTAATTCTAGGTTCCTGAACACACCAAGTCCTACTCAAGGAGATATCAAAGAGTGGTCTTTGCAACAATGAATGTGCACCAACTTTTTCCCAGAAAAACTTGCCCAAGATCATTGGATTCCCACCCTTCTTTGATTCAGCATCCTGAACTATGAAATGAAGAACCAGTGAAGAACTACCGTATCCGGACACGGTGCTACTTTCTGGAGATTTTTCTCCCAGGGCTTCGGTGGCTGCCTTCAGCTGCTCTTTCAATCTGCTGATGTCGCAGTCTGCCTTGGCTTTGACGATGCTGAGCTCTGTGTAGATGTCTTTGTATTTATCACTGGCATATTTTTTATCCTGGAGAAAAGACAAAAGACAATTGGAGTTTCGGTCTCCTTGGGCCACCCAAAGGAGACAACTGGGACGACTAGTCATTTCAACAACCATTAGTTCAACGCGTTCACCAACTTTCGCAGGTTCTCATTAAAGCACATATTTTTGTTTGTCATCTCCACTTAAAGGTGTCCCTTTTTGGTCTGGTTCTTCTCCATCCTCCTGGTTCCTCCTGCCTTAGGCCATCACCTAAAGCAGCGGTCCAACCTTGGCAACTTGGAATTGACTTCAATTCCCAGAATTCCCCAGCCAGCCATGTTAGCTAGGGAATTCTGGGAGCTGAAGTACATATGTCTAAAAGTTGCCAAGGCTGGACACTCCTGATCTAAAGCATAGTTTTAAAGGTGACTGCTCTAGCTCAAAGGTGTACAAATGAGGAGGTTTAAATCACTTGTTAACAGCTTTAAGGTGATGCCTGCATCTCAATTCTTACCCTCAATGCTGTTTGCAATTCATCTTTCAAAGAGCTGATCTCTTGTTTCAAGTACTGGATTTCTGATTCCTTAACTCTCAACAGGACCTGCAAGGGAGAAAGTCAAGGAGATACACCTTTTAGAAAACAAGTATCAAGAAAAAATATAAAAGATGGATGGATGGATGGGATTTCTGAGCTTTTCAACAGTTATAGACAAACTCACCTCTAACTCATAGGCATCCTTGCCTTGGGTGAGAGGAGAGAGGGCCGTTTCCATGCCACCTTCCCCAGTTAGCAATGTCCGTAGTCGGGTGATCTCTGCAGCCAGGCGGTTGTTCAGCTCCTATGAGGAAACCACACACAAAATAAATAGAATTACGCCAACAGACCACCACTTTATCATCCAATACAGGAAACCTTTACATCAATTGTTGCAGAACACAGGAATCTTTCACCTCAATGTGCATGCAGAGTTAATAAATGTGTATCATCACATCACTCCCACCCCCCCACCCCAAATACAGGAACTCTCGAACACGGCGAACTGGGGAATTCTGGGAGTTGAAGTCCACCCATCTTAAAGTAACCGAAAAACACCGCTTTAGAGCAACTGTCTCAGACCACAAGAAAGCTTCACCTGATTGTGCGCGTTGAGTTCCTGGTTCTCCCGCTGGCATTGTCGGAGGGCCTGCCTCTCCGCCTCCAAAGCCTGGGCCAGGTGGGCGTTTTCCAAGCACTTCTGCGAATATTGTTCTGAAAGGACTTCCAGTTCCCGCTGGACTGACTGCAACTCCTCCCTGATGGCAAGACAAAGCAGAAAGAGGCTTTGACTCTGAAGGACCATTCAGGAAGCAACTTTAATTAACTTGGCAGGTGAGGAGGAAGGTAAGGAAGGAGGAGGAGAAGGCTGTAACTACACCCATCCAGTGACAGAAGAGGAGAACCTTCAAATGAGCAGAGGGTTGGACTAGAAGACCTCCAAGGTCCCTTCCAACTGTGCTATTCTACTCTATTCTATTTTTCCATTCCATTCTTTTTTCTTTTCTATAAATTTTGATTCCTCCCAGACCTTCCAAGGTCTCTCTCTCTCTCTCCCTCTCTCCTTCCTTCCTTCCTTCCTTCCTTCCTTCCTTCCTTCCTTCCTTCCTTCCTTCCTTCCTTCCCTCCCTCCCTCCCTCTCCTCTTTCTGTTCATTTAAGGCTTTTAAAATCTCCCTTCCAAGAATGTACAAAGAGAGGAGAGAAAAAAGAAAAAAGAAAAAGAAAAGAAAAAACAAAAACCAGAGTATTTATTAAATTCCAGGAATTGATTAGTAGAGTTTTCATCTCTCCTTGCTGGTTTGTGTTGCAAAATTAATTTTGGGCAACGGGGTGGGGGAAATCAAGTACAGAGAATGGATGAAGAGAGCAGAAAACTGGGACGGTCATACACGTAAGCCTTTTTTTTTCTGAGAAAAGCCTTAACTGACTTTCCCAAAAATTATCTGTAAAGTTTTAGAAACTGAGCATGGTCCAAATCAGACATGAGGAATTCATTTCTCCTAAAGCACAAATCTATAAATTCAGTTTAGGTCATTTTTTGGGGGGTGCATCTGTGAGAATAAATCTGTTTATTACCCTTCCGTGACATCCTCAAAATAAATTATGAGGGTATGTGTGTGTGTGTGTGTATACACACACATATATTTGCAGAAAATATGTCCCCATTGCAGCCAAAGGCTTACGGAGCAGCTCATAAATAAAAAGAAAATGTACTACAAACAGAAGAATTTTGGAGTCTAGAAATAGAGAAGGAAAATGAACCATTAGCAGTTTTTGTGGACAGCGATGCGCCCCACCTGGATAGCTTTAGAAGATGGGGAAAAGATGGTGTGTGTGTGTGTGTGTGTGTGTACGCTCAAATAATGATCATAGGTTGCGTACAAGTTTAGAGTATCCAAAATGCCAGCAAGGCACAACGGAATCCAACCAACGTAGATCCAGAAGGCAAAGAACATTTGACGCGGACAACCAACCCCAGAAGATGCCAAGAAATCCTTACAAGTATTGTCTCTGCAGAGCTTCTATGTCTGAATTGATGCTGCTAATTTGGGAGCGCTGGGTTTTTTCCAACTCCCGTTCAAGTTCCTCCCGGTGAGCGTTCTTCATGGCTTCTATGGCTGGAAAGGAAATGGAGAATTACAGGCGGTCCTTGATTTACCACCAGAATTGAGCCCGGAAATGAGGCATCATTTGGCCAGATCGGATTTTAAGACATTTTTTGCAGCTGTCAGTAAGTGAACCCCGTTGTGGTCAGCAAATGCCATGTTAAGTGAATCCATTTTCTCCCCAATGGGCGGTTTTTAGCAGAAACTGGAAGTAAATGCTTGAAATCAGCAAAAAAAAAAAAAAGATTGCAAATCATGGCCACGTGAGCACAGAGTGTCTGTGTCTGTGTCTCTGTCGTAACTGAAAACAGGTCATAAGTAGCTCTGGGGAGGTTCATCGTAACTTTGAACAGTGGTTAAGCAACCAGTTATACGTTGAGGACTACCTACACACAGCTGTAGGAAAAACGCATCTCCGCGCTTTCTGCATTCTCTTCCCTTGGACCTACCGGAGATAGTGGCGGCCGTTTCCTCAGCCAGCAAACGGTCCTTCTCCTCTCTCAGCTTCTCCAGTTCTCGCTGATGTTGCCTCTGCAAGTCCTCAATCTTCTTCTGGTGGGTCTCTTCCATGGCTGTAAACCCCCGTTCACACGTTGCCTTCAAGAAAATCAGAAAGAAGATTGCATTGGCACGTTGCCCAAGTCCATTTTAAAACCCTCCAGTCACGATAGAGACGGGTCTGGAGGAAGAAAGGGACGTGGCTAACAGAAAAGACTCGAGTGACAGAACCATGTGGTGAAGGAAATATCAATTCCTAGCTAGGTTAGAACATCTAGCATTCTCCATCACCACCACGACCAATCTTTCCTCTAGTGGGAGAAGCAGCCCCAAAGCTTTAAGAAAGTATTATTTTAGGATCCCCTGAAAAGGTTCTAAAAGGATGTGGGCATTCAAATTTGGGGGGAGGGGGGGGAGGGAAGACCGCTCTTGCAGGGACTAACAATTCTAATTCTAGCTTGCAAACTTGTTCATACCCAGGAACCCACCACAGCCCCTTGTTCAGTCTGTGTGTGGTGTGAATAACAAAGAGCCTCACTTCCTTAAGGCTAGGCTGCCGTGCTGTAGTTATGAAAGGGGAAAAAAGACAAGTGCCCTGTTTAGGGTGTGCAATTATTGCAAACCAGAGGAGCGTCACCAGGTTCCACCTCTTTACACCCTAGTGAAATCACAAGAGTTTGCCAGGAGGAAATACTATGTTAGCCTATATCTCAAATGAGAATCCTTATTATTGGAAAATCGGCTCTTTTCTTAATTTGATGGGAGGTGAATGGAGGTAATTGGGGAGATTTTAAGCACGTGCAATGATGCCAATCCAGTTAGACATTTTTAGACATGGAGAGTAAATGGAGAGAAATAACAAACACCCTGTTTCTCACTGTAATGGAGGGGGGTAGACGAAGGGCTGGATTTTCTCGGGGCAGAAAACCCCAGCACCACCACCAAGGACAGTCTGTGACCCTCAATTTGGAGGGCGTTATCTTAAATTGAAGCTTTCCTGGCACGCTGCCCTCCAACCCTCTTAATCTTCAGAAGGTCACCTTTGATTAAGCTGGACCGCCCAGTGACTTGATCTTCATAATGTCAAGAAAATGAAGTCAGCGCTGAAAAAAATGGCCAATTTGTTCCCTAAGGGTCAAGGGATTTGCCTAATCCCAAGGACTCATATTCTTGTTTAAATGCATCCAAGGCCCTAGGAGGCTAAACGGATGCCATTTTCAAAAAAATGAAATGCTTTGAGAAAGCTTCTATCACTCGCCTCTGGATTCTACCTGCAGGCCAGCTGGTTAATCAGCATGCTTGCTCTTAACAAGGGAGGGGGTCAGATTACATGGCCATGAGGAGCATTGACACACATTACATAGCAAGATAAGATGAACAAACAAAAACCTTAAGGTTCTCAAAGTCCTTCTGGTATTTCTCCCTCAAGGTGGATGCGTTCCCTTCCAGGTGCTTGTTCTCCAGCTCGTCTCTCATGACGTTCATCTGGGATTCCAGTTCTTGAATCCGCTCTCTCAATCCGTGCAGGGCATTGGGATCATTTCCCAAGACCTGGATTCCATTGTTATGATGGTCTTCTCCCAGTGCTTCTGCACCAGAGGCGATCCTGGATGAGGTTTCAGGAGACTTCTTCTGATACTTCTCCAGCGATTCTTCCAAGCACTTGATATTCTGGTTGTAGCGTTCCTGCAAGATCTGCAGTTCCTCATCATGGAGGACCTGGATTTCTTTCATCTTGACCTGGAACTTTTCCTCTAAGCTTTGCATTTGCTCCATATGGTATCTCTCCAGGTTCTGCTTGTCTTGTACAAGGGCCTCCAACTGATGGCCCCCCTCAATTCGTTCCCCCTGTAGGGTGTCCTCAGTCCTGTGGAGCTGCTCAACAACCTTCTGCATCTCCTCATCGTACTGGCTCTGAAGTTCTGCAATTTTTTGGCTCTGCTTACATTCTTCCTCTTCCAGGAGTCGTCGCTGGTTGTCCAGCTGCTCCACCTTGGCTCTGAGGTCTTCGTTCTCTCTTTTGAGCATGGCAATCATCTCAGCAAATTCGTTCTGCTGTTTCTGCAGCATTACTTCATACTCTTCTCTGAGGATGGTGACTGCCCGTATGCGCTCCTGATATAAGGCATCCATGTTTTGTAGAGACTCTTTGTACACTTTGGCTTCCTTTGCGTACTCCAGCCTTGCTCTGTAGGCCCCGTAACAAACCTGGGCCTGAATAATCGCATCCTGGACCAGCAGAGAAGAGTAGTGTTCAAGATCCCCCATGCACATCTCGTAAGGAGGACTGCGTGAGATTTTGAGGAGCTTGTGGCAATCTCTCAAAGCGTTGTCAGGGGACACGGACAGAAGGGCAGCAGCAGTTTCTTTCAGAATGTTGGCTTTGTCTTTGAGCTGCTGAGCCAGATCATCCTGGACAGCAGCCAGAGCTTGACTGCTGAGATCCTGTACGCTGTGAGCTTCCAAAATGCGTTCCTGAAGGCTGACGTGCCAAGCTGGTTGGGCTGCTTCTGAAGTGCCTTCTTGGATCTCAAGAGCTTTGGAGATCTGGTGCATAATCCCATCAAATTCAGGAGATTTGTAGGCTTTAATAATTTCTTCCAACATGCACTTATGCTGCTGAAGAGCAGTTTTGGCATTGTGGAGGTCTTCTTCCATGGCTTTTAACCTCTGATGGAAGGATTCTCTCATTTTCTGAGCCACAAAACCCAGTTCGGCTTTAACCAGTGTACTGTCTGTAACCGACTGGATGAGACACTGAGGAAAGTCCAAGGTCTCTTCCTCCCTTTCTTCTTTGACCCTCAAGTGCTTCCTTAATTCTTCTACCTGACTCCAAAACTCATCTTCCAACAACAACTTCTTAGACAAGATATCAGCTAAAGCCACAGCAGTATGTAAAATATTTGAAGGCTCCAATAAGACTGTCTCCAGAGTGGCATGAATCTCTCTGAGAGTCGCTGAGATTTTTGAAGAGGCATCTGTCAAAGACTCTGCTATCTGATTGATCAAGCAAGCTTCAAAAGCCACCCTCCTGGAAAGCAACCTCAGCTGTTCCTGTACAGAAAATTCCAGCTGTTGCCTCCCTTGGAGAGAAGCATTGTTCTCATCCCAGCAGATGTCTTTAGTCTGCAAAATTTGGACTGCAAGATGTTCTTCTGGTTGGTGCTCAGCTGAAGGAAGTGCCTTTTGTAACATCTGGATTGCATCCGTTAAAGTACTTTCAATGCTGGACAGAGCATCCAGGAACATCTCTTCCTCTTTTTCTTTTTCAGAGGTGCCCACATGTTTTAGCTCTTCTCTGCACTGATTTAAACACGTTAATGCTCGGCTAGTCTTTTCGTGGAGTTTGCCCAGCTGATGGAGATGGTTCTTGTTCAGCTTGAATTTTTCTTGTTTCTCAATTTCTACCTGTGACACCAACCCTCTAATCTGAGTCAAGCTGTCTTGAAGCTGTTCTCTAAGCTGAGCTTCAATGCCAGACCACTGGTGGTGAAGGACCATAAGGGCATCTTGATTTTGGCCTTGCTGACTTTCAAGTTTCATGGTTACGTCTTTGAGTTTTTCTTCAGTGATGTAAAGTTTGGTTTCCAAGGAGTGAATGATAGATAAGTAGGTCTCAGAATCAGCTGAGGCTGGATAACAAAAAGCTGGTTCGGAAGTCATACTTTCTTCTGAAAGAGACCGCTCCTGGCTCGTGTCAGAGGAAGTGCTGCTGGCCCACATCTTCTCTGATCCATCAGGATGAATATATTTTTGGCACTGGATATTGGAGAAACGTATCCTTTGTCTTTTGGCTCCCGGTATTTCCGCATCAAGTTTCGTCGAATCTTTCTGACCCATCTCTATTTCTGAAAGATCTACTGACTTTGATGGAGAAGAACATTCTTCAATGCTCACCACAGTATGTCCACAGATTTGCCTCTGGCTGCTACTGGGTCCTTCATGACTATCATCAATAAGCATGCATCCCAGACCTGGGAGTCTTCCTTGCTTTGAGGAATTTTGTGCTGGATCTTCCACCTTGCCAATATCAGTTGCGTTTGTTGCAACCTTCAGCACAGAATTCCCTTCAGCTGATGTTTTCAAATCGTCTTCTTTGGCTGGGTGGTCTTCTTTTTCTTCTCGACTGCTACCAGCAGTAGTCAGTTTTAAAAGAGGCTCATGGAAGTCCTGATCTTTTTTCTCCACAAAGCTCAAATGGGTTTCTCTTACTTGTCTCAACTCCTCCTCTTTCTCTTTCAAAATCTGCTGCAAATTATGGAACTGCTCCGACACCACCTCGTAGGAACTCTCCAGAGTGTGATAGCTACTCTCCTCCAGCTGTAGCTTGGTTTGCAGTTTAGCCACCTCATTATCGGACTCTGCAACTTGGTTCATCAACTCTTGGAACCGGCATTTAATTTGATCCCTTTCCTCCTCAAGACTCTTGATATGTTCCACCAGCTTCTGGATGCTGGCTTCTTTTTTTTCTAGCTGGTCCTCCAGTTGATGGACTAGTTCACTGCTTTCAAACTTGGCAGTCAGCTTCTCCTTCAGCAAGATCTCCTTCTGTTGCTCGTTATTCTGAAGCTGGTTCTCGTATTCGCTGGCTTTATCTTCTGCTTCTTTGAGGGTCTGGATCAAGATTTGCTTCTCCCTCTCGCAGCTTTCTAGCAAAGACTCGTAATTCTTCTGGAGCTTCTTCTCCATCAGCATTCGGGATTGTTCGCCGGCACTCAGCTGCAGGCTCAGGTCAGCAATGCGATCCTGGAGACGTTGAACTTCTTTCTGGTAGTCTCTCTGCAACGCCTGTTGCATCTCTAGATCTCTCAGCTCTTGGGTCTTCTCCAACAGGAGAGCTTCTGCCTTCTTCAGCTTCTGCTCACTGGCCTTCAGCTGGGAATTCAGAGTCGTTTCGCTGTGTTGCCATTCCTCCATCTGCTCTTCAGTTTTCTTCTTCTCAGCCTTCAGGTCGCTCTTCAGCTTGGCCAAGGTCTGCTCCTTGATGGAGAGATCTGCAGCCGCGTTGCTGAGTCTGGCTTGCAAGCTCTGGATCTCTGCTTCGTGATGGCGGATGACGTCCTTGGCTTCCCCATAGCTACGTTTAAGCGACTGGATCTGCTGGTTGATCAGCTCCTGGCGCTGGCATTGGCTTTCCAATTCGCTCTGGAGATCTTTGTTGACTTTATGGAGCCTCTCCCAGGCCCCTGAGGAAGAGGAGGAGGAGGAGGAGGAGGAGGCCACTTCAGTCTTTAAAAGAAAATTAATTGAATAGAAAATTAGTAGCATTCTTCGCCCCTGGTTCTGAGTGTCACATCTCTGGGTAGGTTTAGGCCATAGAACGTGTTGAATGGGTATGATCGCTCCCTTTCAGCTTCAATTCGGAATGATCTCCTTTTATTTTTTATTTTTATTTTTGGTTTTTCAAAAACGACCAGAAACAACACACACCCCTCCCCCACCCTTTTTTTTTTTTTTTGGGTTTCCAGGAAAATAGGGAGAACATCTTCCAACGTAACAGACAGCATGGATGATAAAACATCACAACAGGTTGTACACAAAAGACCCTGAAAGAAACAACTTGAATAAACAAAGGGGGGGGGCAAAAAGATGGACACCAGGAAAAATAATGGCGTAAGACAAGTAGAGGAAAGATTGGAGAAAGAATGAAAACTGGAGGGGTGGGAAGAATGACCAACGGTACACTAGGAAACAGCGAGCAACTTCGCAAAGACCCATCTGACAAATCTCATTTTGAGAGTTCAAAGCTGAGCTAGAAATGGGTACCAGAATCAGACCCTCCCGTGGAATTTCTCCTTGATCCAGTTGGCCCCCCACTCTACTGGTGTTTTGAAGGACCTTGAAGAGTTGAATCTTCACCCAGATCTTTGGCAAGGGTGACTGAACCCATTTTTTGATTGTTGATTGTGTAGGTTTGGTTTTGTTCCTGTCTGGTTTGCTGTCCTTCATTGCTATTTATTAGGACACCGTTTTATTCATTTGGATGTTGTTACTTGTGAACCACCCCAAGCTATTGGGAGTTGGGTGGTATGCAAATTTTAATTAATAATATTAAATACCTATTTTGTTCTGGGTTTTTGTTACTGTCAAGGTTCTCTCAAACTTTCAAGACTGGGTAAAGCTCTAAGCTTCTCTACCCAGGAGTGGCGGAGTTGTGTTTCTGGTATCCAGATTTAAATCTAACATCTTTCGCAAGCAAATAATAATGCCAAGCTTCACCTAATAAAATCCTAGAAGAACCATGAAACCCACAAAATCCACACACTGTCCCTTCCCCCTTCCCTTCAGTGTAGCTGGCAACAACTGACACCCTCCCCAACTCCCCTATTCTTTTAGGGAGGAGGAGGAGGAAAGAACATTTTATGCGTTATGTTCCTAGCAAAAACAAGGTGAGAATGAAGTTTTAATGTTGAAGTTCTAGGTCTACCTAGGCTTTATTCTGCCTGCACGTCAAGAGACGTAGGGTGGAATGACAGAGGTAAGATGAAAATGTAAACAAAGGTCCAAAGAAGGAATCCTCAAAGAGATGCAAAAGAAAACCATGATTCATGCAGACAGAAGAACGTACAGAGATGCGTGCAATGGTTGAGAAAGAAGGCCACGTGGCATGGAGAAGACACAGACAGAAGAAGCACAGCGTTCAGCCTAATCACCGGCCCTGCCTCGCTGTCCTGGGATGGCTGGAAGGGACAGCCCACAGATGTGACACTCAGATACATGCTTTCACAGCAGAACAATTCCCCCATGCACGATGCCCTGTCCCCAAGGAAGATTAGTAGAGTCATCTCCCACACCTTCACCCCGAAAGTTTTCTGGAGAGAAGCAGGAAAAACCAGTCATGCGCCATTGTTGTTAAAAATGAAGAGCGCAGTCAGGCTCGAGGCAAGAGATACACAAGAAAAGTCGTATTGTGAGAGATTCCAGAATATGCGTGCAACCTGGCTCTAGACAGGTCTTGAAGACTCGATGGGAGGAAAACTTGCAATTGTGGACACCACGAATCGGGAAAGAAAGCAGGCTAAAAATGTTGTCTTGTGGGTCAAAAAGCTCACAACAAGCTTCAGATTTGAGCTTTGCCTTCAGGATTGCCTAGCAAGGTTTCTTTCTTTTTAAAAAAAAAAAAAAAAAAGTAGGGAAAAAGGAAAAATATGCAGCCAATATCACTAGTTTGTCAGCAACACAATTTAGCTTTTGACTGATGACTTTGGTCTACCTTCTAAAAACGTTATTATTTTGAACAAAGGGATTGTGGTCCAAAGGCCATAATCATAAACTACTCCAAGTTAATAGGATTAGGACTGTTCTGAGCCAGAATACACAACAATCCATTTCTGGGATTGTCCTGCTAAGAGAAGTTTCAACTTTCAGTTGTATCAGGATGAAAAAAAAAATGCAAAAAAGTTAGAAATATATATTATCTGACCGAGTGGCCCATAAATATGAGCCAGACCCAATTGAAAAAGCAACTTGGAATTTTTGGGGAAAAACTTTTTCTTTCTGAGCATCTAAAGTAGGGTTTTCTTATCTTTGGACCTTTTCTTCAACCTCAGTAGGAATTGCTTTCTCTGTGCCATTTTATTATTCTCATCAGAATGGTACAGGTAGTCCTCAACGTATGGCCACAATGGATCCCAAAATCTCTGTTGCTAAAGTGAAGACAATTGTTAAGTGAATTTTACCCCATTTTACGACCTTTCTTCCCACATTTGTTACGTGAATCCCTGCAGTTGTTAGGCTAGTAACACAGTTGTTAAGTAAATCAGGCTTCCCCGTTGACTTTGTTTGTCAGAAGGTTGCAAAAGGGGATCACCTGATTTGGGGAAACTCATAAATATGAGACAATTGCCAAGCGTTTGAATTTTGATTACATGATCCTGGGGATGCTGCAACAGTCGGAAGTGTGCAAAATGGTCATAAATCACTTTTTCCGGTTCTGTTGTAACTTTGAACGGTCGCTAAATGAACTGTTGTAAGTTGAGGATTACTTGTATTTCACCTCACAGCAGCTTTCGGATGCTGTGGCAAAACGAACCCATGTTATCCCTCAATGTGTAACTCAGGACCCTGACACAACCCGCTCATAATATACTGTAATGAAAGGGGGGGTTATGAAGAAGGGAACCCCAAAATTCATTGACCCCGTCATGCATCGCCCTCAGCAAATGAAGGTTTGGCCAATGATATCTATCCATCTAGGCCCACTTGCAAGCTGAAGCCCCACGAACAAAGCCCAACTGAGTACCAGAGACCGAGCTTCTGGTCTCCTCCTCCCTCCTACCTGTAGGACGTAACCTTCTCGAGCACTTTGTTCGCGTCCCAGAGCTACTTTGAGCTGGTCTTGTAGGGCACGGTTCTGTTCCAAGAGCTCGGAAGCTGCCTTTTGACTCTGTTCCAGCTGGAAGTGCAACATGAAAGGCGTTAAACAAGGATGGGGAGGGACCCAAAGAGCCCACGTCTAGATCATGGTTTCAGTGTGTATTTTCAATAAGGAAAACCACTTGGTTGAAGAACTGCCTGCCCCAAGAGCTTCCAACTTGAACAAAAGTGGACAAGTTCAAAAATGGAAGAAGAAAAATGGGAAATGGGAATGTTCTTGGTCTCTTCACAACTGCCCATGAGAAGTGACTTTGCTACTAGGGTTTCCAGTGGTCCTTCCTTCCTTCCTTCCTTCCTTCCTTCCTTCCTTCCTTCCTTCCTTCCTTCCTTCCTTCCTTCCTTCCTCCCTCCCTCCCTCCCTTCCCTTCCTTTCTTTTCCTCCCTCCCTCCGTCCCCCCCCCACATTACCTCCTTTTCCAGCAACACAGTCAGCTGCTGCTTATGGAGCATCTCTCCATTCTCCTCCGGGTGAGGAAGATGTAGCGGGGCAATGGGGACCTGCTTCTCCTCCCGCAGAGGAGTGGTCTCCACCTGATGCCACCTCTGCTCGATCTCCACATGGACGCTTTGGGGCTTGGCCTCCGAAGTGGCAGGCAACCCCGAAAGCCTATCCACCTCCATCCTGGAGAGGTCTTCTGGGCTTCCCCCATCAGTAGCATCCAGGTGTTCAAAGCGCTTCCTTCGCTCCTCTCTTCGGCGGGCACGTTCTCGCTCCAGTTCCCCGGGGTCTGCCTCTGAAGGGCCGGGCTCCTTGGAGAACGGAGTGGAAGTGTCCTTCAGAGTCTCAGCCAAATTGGCTCGCTCCTGAGCCAGGACTTGCTGGATGGGGCGGAACTCAGCCCAGTCAAAGGTTTTGGAGCGACCTTCTCGTCGTCGTTCCCTGGCTCGACTGCGCTTGTATTCGAGGTCAATCTCGGCTTGCTCTGTCTCCTGCTTCTCACTTGGCTTGGGACAAGCCTCAAAGGAGGTTCCATTTTTGCTCTTCTCCTCTGGCAGAGAGCTGGTAAGAAACGATTCAAGAAGAAAGGAGAGCAGAAGCAAATTAGACATGGACCCAACTTTTCATCCTTATGTTCTTCTCCGATTGCTCCAGGAAGACACCATCGGAGGCCAAAACTATTGGAGGTGTGGAATTTGAGTAGAAACAGAGTTATTCTGAAATCATATCCAAGAGACTGTCTATCCTTTGGTTTAAGAACAGGGTTGACAATGCAAAGATCTGGCTGATTGCCTTCCTACTGACACAGAACTGGAAGCTTTTCCTGTCTCTATAATACAATTAATTGTTCATGACTTTTGGTGTACAGTTTCCATTCTTCTTCCAATTTTGCAAGAGGTAAACTTTTGACATTCAGCCAGATCAAGCCCTGGTCACACCCATTCACCTTGCATCAAAATCAGCTTAAGGCAACTTTGCAAAATTATCTGGAGCCAGAATAAAAAGTTTTAAAGTAATAATGCTGAACTCAGAACAGACATAAAACAGAGATTTATTTTCAAATGAACATTACAGTCCAAGACAGATCACAAAAGCTAAAACAAGCTAAAATAGCCTAGTCAAAGGGCTATTAAGTGTTTAGTAACCTGCTTCTGCTTTTTGTGATGGACACCTTATTTTAGGTTGTGTTGGCCTCTCTGCTTTTTCACTTTCCCTGCTCTTTGCAAATGTTCTTTAACTGTTTTCTCCTTCACTTCTCCTGAAAAGAGCGAGATTTATGCTCATAACAAAGCTGTTGTGAGCTTCAGCAGCATCATTATTCACCAGCATTACAATGAAGACATTCATGAAATGCTTTTTTCTTTTTTTTGCTGAGCAGGTCAAGAAGAGGGCAGATTTCCTCAAGAAGACCTTGTTTGAGACCCAGGAAAGAATTTTCCGTTTCCATTACACCCCACAGAAGGAGGCAAGGTCCTCTCCGTCTAGCTGACTTCAGCTGATAATAACAGAAGCATGACTTGAAGCATTCTAGGCAAGAAAATTGAGGACCCCTCAGAATATATCTAGGAAAATGGGGACCCTGTTAAGATATTTAATTTAATAGCAGGCGCAGTGAAAAGTTGGACAATGAGTATAGCTAATTGGTTGAAGAGAGCTGGCCACTGCCTGAGGCAATCTAAGCTGTGATTGTAAAGGGGAAGTTTCCTTGTTTCCCACCTGTGTGCTCTGCAATTTACCTCAGGATGTTCCTCTTGTGTTGATTTACCTGACGATGCTCCTGCTTGCCTGATTATCTTATCTGCTGTAAATATATTTATTTATATAAAACTACAAGTCCACGTCAGCATCTCTGACTCCACTTGGATACCGGCTACGCAACTCCCTGACAAGACTCCCATTCTGTATTTTTTACAACATGCCCCATTCTTGGGCATCCATTTTCAACCAGGAAATCTCCATTGCACCTTCAAGGACAAACTAGATATATTATCCTACAGAGATACAAAAGGCCCGGATTCCCCTCATGCTGTTCCTTTCCTCTCCAAAAAAGCTTTTGTTGTATGCATCAAATGGCTTTTTGTGTGTGTGCATTTCTTCCCAGGCTTCCATTTAGCAGTGAAAGGGAAGATGGGGTGGCTACAGTATGGCTTCTTCTCCAAGACAAGAACCAGCACAGGGCCTAACGCAAGCCGGTGCTCACACAAGGGAAGCTGCGGTGCTCAGTGCCAAGGTGGACGTCAAAACGGAAGGGGAGCGAGACAGACAGGCAGAGACAGGCAAGGAAAAGGTTTTGGAAGATGCTGGAAATGGGGGCTTGTCACACAACGGAACACATGCCAGCCTCCAGCGTGCACAATTACAGGGCAGACTTAAAATTAAAATAACGTAATAATTTAACTCTAGGGCTGCATTCCCCTAACTTAGCCATAGACCGTTTTTATTATCCCTACTAGTTGGAAACATGAGCGAGCTAGAAAAATATGTTGCTTTCTTTTCAGGATGAGCCCAGAGTCTGGCTATCTCTTGTAGCTTCTGAAGGTTGTGGAAACGCCACTCACTCTTTTTATGAGAAGTTGGCAACTGCAGCCTAACTCATGTCAAAGTTGCTTTTGGTCTACAGCCAGTAGTTGCAATCAAATGCAACTTTCCTTCACAACAAAGAATTCCAGGTTGATTTTAATCATTAATAGAGTAGAAAAATATGGGAAGAGACCACCAAGTTGGTGGGGGATGTTGGAATGAGCCATTACTCATTGGGGTGGACTAGCGTAGGTTCTCCATGTCACCTTTTCAAGGCATGGTTTCAAAGGATTATATTCTGGAACGGCTCTCTGTTTATTTTCAGCACCCAAGGATATCTCACCTCTGCAAAAACTCAAATTACTGTAGATCATTTTATACTTAGGATGTAAAGGAAAGTCTAGTATCACTCTCAAGCAGAAGATCACTAGAAGACCGCTGACTGCTCTTCTGGAGCCTACCTTTTCCCCACATTCAGTCTTCCTCACCTGCCCAACAATGACTCAATCTAAGTCCGATGACAGGAACTATCCAACTTCTACAAAATACTGGCTCTACCTTCACTCAGACTGATGATATTCCATACTTGGGCAATGAAATGTCTCCAAGTAGACAACCAAGCTCAGAGAGCACCAAAGACTCCAGAGTTCAACCCTGAATTCATAGATTCTCTCCTAGTGATGCTTTATTTTCACATGTCCCCCGAAGTAATTTCAGATACGCCTACTCATGGGACTTGAGTATCTGGCTTAAAGAACTAGTGGTATGCCTAGAGGTCCCTCTACTTATGAACCCAACTTTGTGGTTCAGAGGCACAAAGAAGCATTTGCTTACTACTCTGGTTGGGAGACTCTTTGGTTGCACGGATGCCTACTGAGCAGAGATGTTGCAAGAGATCCTACAAACTTACTACAAATCTACTGATCTATTCCAGGTTCTGGCTATAGGATCAGCTGTTGTCCCTCCAAGGGAAGGTCCTTCAGCTGCATTCCCAGGAGGCCTGCTTGGTGAGGCCAGTAAATGACACCACGGAAATTCTGCAACTAAGTCTGCAACTAAGTCCCGCCATCCTCCCTCCCTCCCTCCCTCCTCCTTGCTTTTTTTGAGCAAAATAAGCAGGAGTTTCTAATCCAGACAAGTGCAGCAAAGGAAGAGGAACATGCAGTGAATCACGAGGTATACAAACCACAAAACGTTAATACAGGAGAGAACACAGTTTTCCAACCTTGGCTTCAGCACGGATAACTTCAAAGAGAAGCTTTTCCTGCGAGTGCGTGGAAATTAAACATATGAAGGAGTGAGGCGAGAGACTGGAGGAGAAGGGAGAGAAGCGTGGAGAGACAGAATGGAGGAGGGACAGAGAAGGAGGAAAGCAATTCTGGGCTGAGCTGTCTGCCCCCAGGTCCTTATGTCTGTTCACACACCACTTTAAAGCAGGGTTTCTTAACCTTGACAACGTTGAGACGTGTGGACTTCAACTCCCAGAATTCCCTAGCCATCATACTTGAAGATGTGTGGACTTCAACTCCCAGAATTTCTCAGCCAGCCTACACATCTTAAAGTTGCCATTGTTGAGAAACCCTTTTTTAAAAGCAACATTCCATGCTTCACAACTACACCATAGATACAGTACTCGCTGTGGTGCTTACTCTTCTTTTTACACAAGCAAATAACAAAATAGGAAAGGAAGACCTTGCTACCACATTTGAAGCCAAATTATTACAAAGTGCTGTCAAACCAAGGTTTTAACTTGGGGGCTCTTTAATTTTCTTGAAGGACCTACAGGTTGGATCTACTGTAGATCAAGGGCAAGGTGGGACCTACTGTAGAGTCACACTTGGGGACAACATACACCCTTCATTTAAGGGGAAGGAAAGGTCCTAACTGGAAGATGATGCACACTATTGCTACTGCAAATTAACATTTGTGCAGCAACTGCCCTGAAGTTGAAACTGGCTGAAGTGCAGTTAATTACATCTGTATTCAGTGCGCTAAAAGCTCGCTCATGTGAAAAACAACTAGGTTGATATGGTCCCCTGAGCAATGTAACTGAACCAGGGTTCAGGTTGAGGTTCCTCTTAGTTTCTTCACCTTAGTGTTTCCCATCACTCTACATGTTTAACAAGAGGTGGAAAGAAAAATCAGTCAATGAGGCATCAAGCTGTCCTTACGAAATTGTGCAAAAAAATCAAAACTCTCAGAAAACCAGTCTTAGAAAAAGAAAATAATTTTCAGAAAGTGGAAGAGAGAGAAATCAGAAGTAAATGGATTTGTGGAGAAATGTGATGAAGATAATTGGGAAAGAAGACCAAACATTCTTGTTTTTCATGTGTTTTTTTTACCTGGTCACGTCTGGAGCGACTGTGGGACGAACATGTTTCATAATGGTTTGGATCCAGTTCCGGCGGATTCCAGATGTCATAGCAGAAAGAATAAATTTGCCTTCTTTAGTCTACAAAAGAAGAGGAAAAAGTGTGGTTGAGCCTCTTTCTACAACAGATGTTTCTGGAAGGAAGTTTCTTCAGCTCTCCTGCTGGGGTTTCCACCTTTCTAAGGTAGCTTCTCAAGTGAATTTTCAGAAGAAGTAACAGAAAGAATGGGTCCTTTTCTGGTACTGCTTTTCAGAACCAGGAAAATTCACCCAACTTCAGAGAGTAGTAGACCATATATTGAATGGTTCTCCAGATGGGTCATTGGTGGTGGGAGGGGTTTGGACCAGGTGTTCCCTCTGAACCCTAGGACACCTTTTGAAGGAGATGGGACCTTCACAGCCTGAGCAACTTATTCATCCATAAATTGGGTCTCATAGCAACAACTGCAACAAGGAAAACCAACTCTGCCCCATTAATTAATTAATTTACAGGACTTATATGACCTCCTATCTCATCATCCATAATTCCTTTGCACAAGGGATGGGCTCAAGATCCTTATTCAGAAGATGTCTGCCCTTTCTATGTATAGTCTGACTATTTCTTACATGGATCTGGAAACCATAGTTTCGCTGGACGGAGTATTCCGTGACATCAAAACACGTCGACAAGTCAATTTCCCCATCCAGATCGGCTGCCTGAGAAAAAGAGAAGAAATGCATAAGAGGACAACGTATAGGTCAATGGTGAAAAAGGTACAATAACATTTCTTTATATAGCACTGTCACAAAATATAAGATGGAATCCTCTTTGCCTGAAGAATCAAAGCAGACTCCTTATAAGGAGGTGGTGGGAGAGAAAGAAACAAAGCTGGTATGAACATCAGAAAGGGTCCAGCAAGGCCTAGTTCTTGGTCTCCACCTCAACCTACCTCCTCTGCCACTGAATCCCGGTAGTATCTTAGGCTCTGATCCGTCAGCACAAACCAGTGCTTCTTCCACTACAAAAGAAACAAGACAAGCCATTTTACAGACATTTGTCCTTCCTAAGATGGTTTCTTAAAGAGAAGTAGGCAGGGATGGGTGGGTGGGTGTGATTATTATACTGGGCAGAATTCTGCCAAAATTACGCTAAGACTAGGAGAACTTTTGCATCCAAGCTAGGCAGAAATAACTCCAGGTTTGAGGTCAGTTCTCAAGGTTTACAATCTCCAAGGTGCAACCCCATCTACTGTGGTTTACCCGGGAAAACAGCACCCCAAAACTTACCTGCCCATCTTCCTCCTGTTTTGTCAGCCATCCCTTTTTGAAGTTCAGCAAATCTGGCTACAAAGGACCGAAGAGAATTTAGCATCCTTGCCCTCACCTCAGCTTAGATTACATATAATATATAAAAGAAATCCTGAAGAAATCCTAATATATAAAAGAATTTTCTGAAGAGTTCGGCTCCCTTCTTTGAACGCAACTTTCCTTCAAGAACGGGACTATTTTTTACTCAGGGTAGTCCTCAACTTGTGACCCCCAACTGGGACTGGGACTTCTGTCACTAAGCAAGGTGGCTGTTAGGTGAATTTTATGACCTTTTTTTTGCTCTGGTTGTTAGGTAAATCACACAGTTGGCTTCCCCAATTGACTTTGCTTGGCAGGACATTATGGATGCTCCAATACTGGAGGATTTTAAGAAGAGACTGGACAGCCGTTTGTCTGGAATGGTATAGGGTTTCCTGCCTGAGCAGGGGGGTTGGACTAGAAGACCTCCAAGGTCCCTTCCAACTCTTGTTATTCCGTTATTCAGAACCCCCAAATTATTGAACTTACAGTCATGGAGGATTCTGTAGACCTTCTGTCCAACGATTTTGCTCTCCGGTGTGGAGACAAAGGAGAAGCTGACACGTCCATGATGGTCCCACTTGCTGTTTCAGCAAGTAAATCCTGCAGGAAGTATGAATGTTTCACGGTCATTGGACTCAGCACTGCAATTTCGATTGATAACGAAGAGGTCACAGATTGTCACGGTCATTGTCTTACTGGCTGGCTGGGGAATTCTGGGACTTGAAGTTGCTAAGGTTGACAAACACTGCAACTCTCACTCTTCATATCAAGAACGTGAGACCCCTGCCGACTCACCCGTTTCCTAGGGAAAACCCTTTTTTCGCTCCTGCCCTGCCGAGTTTCACTGGAGAGACCCGAGGAAGCATTGATTTCCATCTGTTCTGCATTCTCAATATCCAATGCTTCAAATCTTTCAATTACTTGGGACCGCCTGAGAGACAGAGAAGAGAGAAGGGACGGGCAATTTTAACAAAAGGGAAGGAGAGGCCACCTTTGAAAGTCAGAACAATTTCCGCCCTCCCTCTGATCCAGACAACATATTCAAAAGATCGACATAACGATGCTTTCCTCTATTATATTTCTGTCCTGTCCTATTGCACAGACTCATTGGATGGGGAGAAAAAAAAAACCCCAAGAAATAATCATATAATTATAAATAAAAATTAGTAACCTAGAAGGGATCTGAAAACCTGAAGCATTTCTCAACTTAGGAGCACATTGCCCAAAACCGGAACCAGCCCATTTCATTCAGCGGGAAGCATTTGGAGCATTTGGATTTTTAAAGCTTGCAAATATGTCATTTTTTTTTCTCCTTTTAAAAGCACAATTATGTGACAAAGTGATCACATCCTCAAAAACGTCCTCAGAAAATGGGGTCAGTGGGGTGATCTCTTTGAGTTTTCTTGCAGATTTAAGGCAGCAAGCTCAAATCTATTATCTTTTTTATGAATATATGGCATGAATCCCACCACAGAGCAGCTACTTAATGAACATAATTCAGTGCTAAGCTTCGCAAGCCAACAGTTACACTTTAATATTCAGGGAAAAAAAGCTTCACAAAGTCATACACAGCCTTGGTTTACCTATGAGTCAACGTCAACATGGGTCAACCTGGACTTTAAACATGGAAGAGAAAGAAAAGAGCTAAAACCAAATTGATTTCAAGCTCGGCGTCTCCAAAACAGAAGGGCATTTTAAAATCCCATTGGAAGTTCAAATCCAGGCCTTACGTAGCCCTTGGAGAGGCCTGTGGTAAATCAAGGACTTCCTATAGTGGTTTAGTTTTATCAAACCACCCAGAGTCACCTTGTAGGGGAGATGGGCAGCATAATAAAATAAATAAATAAAAGGAAGAGAAGTAACGCAAAATAATAAAATGAAGTGAAGTAATGTTAAATAATAAAATGAAGTAATGTTAAATAATAAAATGAAGTGAAGTAATGTTAAATAGTAAAATGAAGTAAAGTGAACTAAAATAATAAAATGAAGTAAACTAAAATGATAAATTAAAACAAAAATAAAATAAAATAAAATTTAGCACAGGGAACTGCATCTGTGCCGCAGCATGTATAAGAAGCCATCAGTTTAAGAGAATCTGGATTGGGAAGCTACTCTAATCATTTCCACGCTGCTATCTACCAAAGCTAACCCTGTTGAACTACCAGCCTCTTCCAGACCCCAGGGGCAGAACCCAAATCACCGCATGCCACATGCAAAGAGAAGAAGCACTAAGCGCACCCCCACCAAGATGCCTCCGGCAGTGAGAGCCCCCAGCACCCATGGCCCTTGACCAGAGAAGGCAAAATCATCATCATCATCATCATCATTAAAAGACCCTTTGGGACCCCTGCCCTTCAAGTCCTCTGCCCTCAAACCCTCGCCATAATTTTAAAACCGACGGCCACCGCTTGGTTTCCGTGCCAAGACCCATCTCGGCTTCCCTTTGGGGAAGGGAAAATTCTCGGCCACCGTTTCCCATCTGGCTCAGCCCACGGGTCTGGTTTCTTTCCAAGCCACAACCCCCCACCCCCACCCCCACAAAAATGAAAAGCAGCTTGATTGTCATGAAAGGGAAGGGCACCACCAAGTTGTCAACAGCTTGAGATTTTTTTTTGAGATGAGATGGGAGCGAAGCAGCGGAGCACAAGTTATCACACAGCAGAGGGAGGTGAAGAACAGAAGACCTGCAAGAAAATAAAAGCTGGACAATGAATGAACAAAAAGGTTATCTTCCCTTCTTGCCCTCCCCACCCTGCCCCCCAAATCAGAGGCATTCTGAGATTTTTATTTTTTATTTGAAAAAAAAACAACAACACCACCAAAACCAAAATGCAAAATCATCCACACCATTAAGAGAAGTGATCACTGGAAACTGCAGAGTGCCATTCCCGCTGTGTGTGGTTACTCCAGGTATCATGGGAAGAATGGTGGCAAGAACAACAGAATAATAGAATTGGAAGGGGCCTTGGAGGTCTTCTAGCCCAACCCCCTGCTCAAGCAGGAGGCCCCAGACCATTCCAGGCAAATGGCTGTCGAATCTCTTCCTAAAAAGCTCCAGTGACGGAGCACCCACAACTACTGGAGGCAAAAAGGCAGTGACGACCTCCCCACTTTTTTATCTGGCCTGGTTGGTTTTGACACCCCCAAGACCCAGGTTGGGGTACCCAGATCCCCCCCAATTTTAACTCTGCAAGGAAGGGTAAAACGTGGGGTGCATTGCCAATCAGCGTCCACAAACTTTAAAAATTAGAGATGGGGGTCATTCCTAATTGATAACTGGGGGGCTAAAATTAGCTCCTTTTTTGGCATTAATTACTTCCCTGCCATTCCAGTTTCTTTCCTGCCGTTGTCTCTGCCAACAAAAATTGGGGAGTCAGCTTGGAAGAACGCCCCACCGCCCTGGGCTCCTTGCTAGAAAACCTAAAGCCTTTGTCTCTTCTAGTTTGCAACTGTAAGGATTTCCATGTCAGATTTTTTTGGATGGAAAAACACCTTTTCTGGACGCTCAATCTCAGCCCTCCATTTCAGGTGGAACTTAGAAACAGGAGGATACAGTTTTAGTTTGGAAGCAAGGCAGCCGGTTGGGTAGGTAGAAGTGATAAGGAGATGCTGCTGTTTCTCTTTGAGGTTAGTTTGCAGCAGTGAACCATGTTCTAAAAACAGGGGTGTCCAACCTGGGCAACTCTAAGACTTGACTTCAGCTCCCAGAATTCCCCAGCCAGCACGGCTCTGTTCGCACTTTAAGCTTAGCTGGCTCAGGAATTCTGGGAGTTGAAGTCCACAAGTCATAAAAGAGCCAAGGTTGACTACCCCTGCTCTACAGCATGAGCTGGCTGGGGAATTCTGGGAGTTGAAGTCCACAAATCTTAAAAGTTGCCCAGGTTGGATACCTTTTGCTCTAAAATGATCAAGGCAGCTCAGCGAAAGGAGGGGTTAAGAGCTGGAAAAGAAAACCATGATGAACAACAATTTGCTTTCCATTATACATGTTTTCTTTCTTTGATCTGTTAAGAAGCAGGAAGATGGGAATGAGGACGGAAAATCAACAGAAGATCAAAGGGATGGATTTATGCAAACTCAATTCAGAGAAAATTGTTCAATGCCACCCAGAGTTATTTTTTCATGAGACCGGCGGCCGTATAAATTTGATGAATTATGAATGGATGGAATGCATAAATAAATAAACAAAGACTCAATTACCTCAAAGGAAAAAAGAAAATATGTTTAAGAGCATGTCTTAGTTTCAGTGGCAGAAGTAGGCGGGGACCAGGAGTTATGTAAAATCTTCCTGATGGAATTTCTTCGCCTGTTTTTGTATTTTCAACACACTCGTGTGCTCCCTGTGTGACCATAAGGCTATAAAGGAAGATTTCTACATCCTATATAGATAGTTCTCGACTTACGACTGTAATTGAGCCTGGAATTTCCGTTGTAAGTTACGCCGGTTGTTAAAAGGGTCATCACATGACCACATCCAATCTTACGACCTTGACTGCAGCGGTTGCTAAACTCAAAATTACTTGACCGGTCAATGAGATTTACAGCCACGTTAAAATTATTTGTCAATAATTGGCTGCAATAACAATGGGAGCCTCATGGTTGAAGACATGTTTCTACACTCAGTTGTAACGGTCCAACTCTCCACACAAATACAGGCAGTCCTCGACTTATGACTGTAATGGAGCCGGAATTTCCATCCCAAGTCATGACGGTCGTAAGCCGAGGCACCCATATGACTGGACCCTCACCTGGTAAAGGTGAGCCAGTTGTAAAGCACCAGAAATGAGCCCGTGTGACCACAGGAGGGCGTGCAGACATCAGAACTCTGGAACTGGGTCATAAGTAGCTTTTGTGGGGTCTGATGTAACTTCTAACGGTCACTAAGTGGTCATTAAGTGAGGATTAGCTATATTTGGGGTTTCTAGATTGCTGGCCAGGGATATGTGCACAGAAGTTGTGAAAAACATCACATGTTAATTCATAAATTAAAGAATGGTTATGCAAACTCTTCCACAAAACCTCTAATTTCTCTCCAAAGCATATGACAATTCAGGAGTCCTTTTTTGGAGAAGAATTCTACTGAAGTATGAAATTAAGTGAACAATCCAGTGTTTTTATGTCCTAGAAGTAGAAAACCTACTTGCTAAAAGAAATGTTTTGGGTCATCAACAGGGATAGATGTCTCTTGGTCTAATCTTTCTCATTCTGGGGAATCTGGGACTTGCTCCCATTTAAACAGGATTCAGTCTAGTTTAACAGACACAAATCCATATCAGCATCAAATGTTGAGAACTTGGTTAGGAAACAGTTAAAGGAATTCCCAGCTTCCTCGTAAAAATGCTTTTCCCAGGGACGTGTGTTTTACGAAGTCCTTGCACATAAATGCAAATACGTCCAAGTACATCTCTAGCATCATAGCTAATCTATACTTCAAAACTCAAATCTAAATATTTCTAAATATTTCACAGGGCACAAGTCTTGAGCAACAGCTTTTCAAGAAGGGAGACAAGCATGTTTACAGTATACTCAAGTGGGGAAATTTCAAATCCGACTGTGGACTGTGTATGACTGGGAATTTTGGCCCAGGGCTTAAAAAGAAATTGCAGCATTCATGAATATTTTTTTAAAGTTTGCAAAGGTTCAAGATGCAGCAAACCACAGACCAGGTGTCCTATTGTTCTTTTTACTACTCAAACACAGAACCATCTTCCCTCACCTTTTAGAAACCCAGCATGGCTTGGTCTTTGACTGGGGCAAAAAACTGATATAGTTAATCCTTGACTTATAACCATTTGTTTAGAGATCATTCAGAGTTACAACGGCACTGAAAAAAGTGACTTATAATGGGTCCCCATACTTATGACCAGGGTCCAGGGATCATGTGATCGCCGTATGCGACCTTCCCAGCAAAGACAATTGAGGGGGGAGCTGGATTCATTTAATGACCATATGATTCAGTTAACAACTGCAGTGGCCAATAAGGTTGTAAAAATCAGGCATGACTCTCTTAAAAAACGCCTTGCTTAGCAATGGAAATTGTTGACCAATAGTGCTCGTAAGTCGAGGACTACCTGTATAAAGATGTAGGTGGAAGCTGTAAACCTCCATCCTTAAAGAAAGATTTTAGCTCTGCAATAGAAGCTGAGAAACAGGAGGCATTTTGGCTGATAGGAAACCAAGGCAGCAACGTTAGATGTAACTCCAGATAATCTAGCATCTCCTCAATCAGGGCGTCAACCTTTGCAAAACATCTTTGCTATTAGTAGTCCTGGGCAAGACACCCTTGTCAAATTGCCCAAAAGGTCTGTAATTCTGGCCTTTAAAACACACACACACACTCGCCAGTTGGAAAAGTGCAGCTTTAGATCCCATTTACTCCTTGATGACCTGGAATAAACTGGTAAATTGAAAGGGTTCAGAACATGAACAGAGGACACCGAGAGTGACAGGAGCGGGTATGAAGTCCTTCAGAAAGTTCCCCCAAATCAGTTGGATTTTGTGAATATTATTGGAAGATCCATGGGAATTATCTGAGACCAGGATGGTCTCAAGGGGTGGATTTGTCTGAAATGATATAAGGTTTCCTGCCTGAGCAGGGGGTTGGACTAGAAGACCATCAAGGTCCCCTCCAACTCTGCTATTCTGTATTCTATTTCAACCTGGACATCAAGTTGGATTATAGGAAGACTCGCCAGTGCTGGCTACAGAGCGTGCTTTGTTCCCAGACAAGGAACTCCGCTCAAGGATGGACAAGAATGTTAATGAAGCAGTCAGAGAAATAAGTTACTAAAGCAGCCCAAAGCAATGGATGGAGATCGGCAGGAAGACAGGAAAATGTTCATTTAATAGCAGGGGATTTTATTTATGCAGCAGGGCAAAGAAAAAAAAGTCTGTCTGAAGCCACCTGGAGGTTACAAACAAGCTTCATCAACCACCAAGACCCTCTGAAGACTGGTGAGGGGTGAAATCTCTTTTATTCCTCATTTGTGGGTTTCTTGCTAGCCAATTCTGGAAAAAAGAACAAGGATTGTTCTTGAGCTGGTGCAAGACATCTGTTATGAGCAAGCCAGACCTGGTGGAGGTTTTAAAAAGCAACTGGAGAAAAATCTCTTTTATCTCTTGGAAGAGCATATGCTCACAATCCTCCAATTTGCATATTCTGGCTCCTTTTCTGAGATGCTTCTTATGAATTCCTATGAATATACAACAGAACGAAGGAAGGGAGTTCCTGGCCTCTATTATCTCAAAAATATGCATCCTAAATATCCTTCCTAAAGCAAGTTTCTAGGCCGCTGTGGCAACTGACTTATATTTATGATGGTCGTAGTGTCCCCAAATCACGTGATCCCCTTTTGCGAGTGATTTCAGTTCACAACTGTGGCAAGAAAGGCCGTAAAATGGGGCAAAGCTCACTTAACAACCATCGCACTTAGCAACCGAAAATTTGGGCTCAATTGTGGTCGTAAGTCAAGGACTACCTGTGGAAGGGCTGGAACCCAGTTCAACCATCACCTCTCCTTGGGCAAAAACTCCCTTCCAAAAGACAGTTTCATCCTCCTCCGCCTGTCCAAAAGCCACACCCGGATTTGGGTCTTACCTCCTTTCATTCCCAAAAAGCCGAGCTACCTCTTCCCGTCCGGGACTCCGCGCTCGGGAACTCCGCTCAATCCGTTTCCGCTCGACTTGAAAAGCATCGCGGTTACTGATCCGAATCGCCTTGGGCACGTCGGCCAGGGTGGAGTATTTGCGGCTGACTTTAAAGGCAAAGGGGCCGTTGCGTCTCTCCTCTGTCCTCGCCCCGTTGCGGCCAGCGGAGTCCTTGTGCTTGGAGAGCCGGGAGCTTCTGACGTCCAGGGAATTGAGAGAGAAACTGTGCACCATCCGGCCGGCCGGCCAGGTACCTGAAGAAGGAAAGGAAGCGCTCGGCTGCTGAGATTTGGGGTCACCGTACCTGTGGTTGGGCGTGCAGGGGCTCGGCGGGGAGGGCAGGTTCGGCATCTGGTGCTCCTCTGCCTTGACCTCCTGCTTGGTCTTCTCCAAGGAAAAGTAGCCGCTTTCCACCCTCGTCTTCCGCCCGCAGTCACTGCGGTCGCCGTTCACCGCAGCATCCTCTGAGGAGGAGGAGGAGGCAAGCATGGAAGAGAAGAGAGGAAGAGGTTGAGAGAGAAGGAGAGAGAAAGAGACGAACAGTTGCAGGAATTGGGTATGTCTAGTCTAACAAAAAGGACTAGGGGTGACACAATAGCAGTCTTGCAATATTTGAGGGGCTGCCACAGAGAAGAGGGGGGTCAGCCTATCCTCCAAAGCACCTGAAGGCAGGAGAAGAAGCAACAGAGAGAAACTAACCAAGGAGAGAAGCAACCTGGAATGAAGGAGGAATTTCCTGACTGCGAGAACCATTAACCAGCAGAACAGCTTGCCTCCAGAAGTTGTGGTGCTCCAACCCTGGAGGTTTTCAAGAAGAGACTGCATAGCCATTTGTCTGAAATGGTATAGGGTCTCCTGTTTGAGCAGAGAGTAGACTAGAAGACCTTCAAGGTCCCTTCCAATTCTGTTATTCTGTTAAATTTACAGAACTGGCCTCTCTTCACTTGGGGCACGGGGGTGAGGGCATCTTCCTAACTTCTTCAATCTGCCAAGGCTGAGAAACATTGCCTTAGACTGCAGGGGTAGTCAACCTTGGCTCTTTTATGACTCGTGGACTTCAACTCCCAGAATTCCTGAGCCAGCACAGCTGGCTCAGGAATTCTGGGAGTTGAAGTCCACGAGTCATAAAAGAGCCAAGGTTGACTACTCCTGCCTTAGAGGATCCACCAAGAAATGACAAATCTAGAAATGCCCCTGTTTATTCCCAGGCAAGTATTTGCAGGTAGGGAAAATTATTCAAGATTTGGAAACACCTCTAGAAAATAAAATGCTGAGGTTCAAATTCTATCCTCAGGAAACCCAACCTCCATCCTAAGTGTAGGGAGATCCTCATGAGAAGTCCTGTATGTCCACAGGTAGAGTCCTACCGCCACCTCTTTGAATTCTTGCAATACAAAGGTCAGTGTTACTCTGAAACTGTGGTTGGGAATGTCCTGTTCTTTGGATGCACCTGAAGCCACCCGAGTTAGGTCCCACCAGCTTCTCAAAGTTGCTGATTTTGCAACCGAGCTGGTCCGTAACTTGTCTTATCTTGTTTTCTGGCAAAGACCCCAGTTCCCTTCAGTCATAACCCTGGAATGAGGACACCAGGAAGCCTTAGAAGAAGCAACTTGTCTTCTTATGTCTTGCCCAGGGCTCCAGACAGCAGAGATAAAGGATCAGATGACAAAAATTAAGAACACTGTGGATCCCAGATCTTCTACCCTGCCCTCTGGTTTGACCAACGTTCAGGACTCCATTCTTACCTTCTTTGCTCTCCAGGATGGAGTCCTTCAAGGAACACGCTGGAGGCACCTGGCCTTGCAGAGAGCCAGGGGCTGAGCTGATGCCCACATTCCCATCCACCTGGTCTTTGCCTCTCAGCTCTTCTTGCCAAAGGGTGGACTTGGTGGTGGGGATCTTCTCCGCACCAGGGATGCTGCTGCTGGTCACCGCCACCTTCGCTGGGCCAGGCTCCTGGAGGGAAAAGAAAGTGATGGGCAACCCCGTTGCAACAGCTTGTATTTTTGTCTCACACCGGCTCAGATCAACCACACAACGTTCATGCTCTCTCCAGGTTTTCTTTTTTTACACTGTTCAGTGCGATGGCCCCAGTTTTCGCCCTTTTGGCGCCAAGATCTTCAGCTGCTCCTACGGTTAGCATCGCCTCCAAACCCGATAGCCGTTTGACCCTTTGAAAAGTGCCTTTTAGTTCATCCTGCAAACTGCCTCGGGAACTCTGCACTGCAATGAAGCTGCAAATGCTTTCAAAAACTAAACACGCACCCAGCATGGAAGCCGGTTTCCTAGAAGGGATTTGCAATTCAAATTGGCTGGGCGCAAAAACCAAACACACCTCCTCTTCCTAAATCAATATTTTTTCAACTTGGCAATTGGACTTCAACTCCCAGAATTCCCCAGCCGATACTTCCCATCTCTTCCCCAACAATGATTTCTCCCCTTCTTTTCTCCTCCCCATGAGAATCGGTAGCCCGTTTGAAGCAGCAACATTTAAGTATGATCGACAGAACTCTCCTGGTAGATTAGGACTGTGGGGTAAGACTGCAATTTAGAACGTATGATGAGCACTGAAGCTTGGAGACCTCAAGTTGACTTGTGTCAAGTGGACACTTTGCAGTGATGGTCTTTGAGATGCTAGGACGAGTCAGGCCTTTTCACTTCCTGGCAAGAAGTATAAGGAGATGGTCTTGATCTATTTTTTGCTGGTCAATGACCAAATGGAAGAGACTTAACTTGACTTTTATACAATTAGCAATCAATCTGCTTCCCCAGCAGGTTTGCTAAAATAACTCAGCTCAGACTCCGACAAGACATAACTCAAAGCCCTACAAATAGTTCATTTCCCCTAGCATAAATTTAGCTGATGCAAAGGATGAGCTACGTCAAGGCAACAGCAGAGAAATCCAGGAACAATATTCCAAAGAGGAAGCTGCAAAACTTCCAGGACTCTCAAGACAGCCAAAGAATTTGGCAGCAGGAGCAACTCTGTCAGCATCTGGTCCAAAGATTACAGAATAAGAGTAGAAGATCCCATCTGTCACGGACTACATTGCTCTATTCCTAGCAGAAGCCGGTCCCTTCAGGTCTAGAAAGAGCAGAATGGAGAGATGGAGATGGACAGAAAACCTGGGGCCAAGGAGAAGGGGAGGCTGGGATCCAAGGTGGACGCTGCCCAAAAGACGTAGAAAGCTCTGTTGGAAAGTCATGCCGGGAGAGAAACCAAGGGAAGTGGAGAAGGCCAACAGAGGAAGGAGAGGTTTTTAGGAAAGGCAATGAGTAAGAAAGGAAAGAAGGATGGTAGATGTGCTGTCGAGGCTTGAGTTAGGGTTGACTTTCCCAAAAAATAATTGGGATCCTGACACCCTTCAGATACTGTAGGATCCCTGCAGGCAGCTCTTGATGGTGGCCAAAACTGGATGAATACTGCATCCAGTTTGGTCACCTTACTATAAAAAAGTTGCTGAGATTTTGGAAAGAGTGCAGAGAAGAGCAACAAAAATGGTCAAGGAACTGGAGGCTAAAACACATGAAAAACGGTTGCAGGAATTGCATGGCTAGTCTAGGGAAGAGAAGGACCAGGGGTGACAGGACAGCAGGCTTCCAATAGTTGAGGGGCTGCCACAGAGAAGAGGGGGTCAAGCTGTTCTCCAAAGGACCTGAAGGTAGGAGAAAAAACAATGGATGGAAACTAACCAAGGAGAGAAGCAACCTGGAACTAAGGAGGAATTTCCTGACTGCGAGAACAATTAACCAGCGGAACAGCTTGCCTCCAGAAGTTGTGGTGCTCCAACACTGGAGGTGTTCAAGAAGAGACTGGACAGCCATTTGTCTGAAATGGGTCTCCTGTTTGAGCAGAGAGTGGACTATGAAGACCTTCAAGGTCCCTTCCAATTCTGTTATTCTGATAGTCTTCTGGAAATGTAGTCCTTACAAAGAGCGGGCGATATCGCTCTCCTGGCTGTCATTTCAAGCCCAACACAAAGCAAACTGAGTTGCAGCTCAAGACAAGTCGAATTAGTGAACTTCAGGCAGTTTTGTTGAAAATCAGCACAGTTTTTGGCAACACTGCACCCGTAGCAAACCATTGGTTCATGGTATGTAGGAGGAGGAGGAGCTACCAATTCCTCTCCCCACTTTTATTTGAGTGGGGAGAAAGAGCGAGATGAGGGAGTCGCTTTCTTATAGTGACAGAGGAACAGTTGTATCTCATCTAAGGTAGCTTTTGGAGGTCACGTTGACCAGTCCAGAACATCTAATGCTTGGAGAGAAGGTTCTCTTCTCCTCCTCCAGGTGCAACTCAATTCAAGCTCTTCCAACTCTCCTGGGTCATTTTTGCCCTCCCTTATAAAAATGTAACACAAAGAGTTGAGAGCAGAAACGGAGGAGTCGAGATTACGTAGCACAAGCTTTCTTTTTTTCCCTAGCATTCCTTTTTTGGAAGCAGTGTAGATCTTCTCCAGTATTTTTCCCTGAGGCACCCAGCAGGCGTGCTCCATCTCCTGCTGCTTCACAAAACTCCTTGAGACCACGTGGTTCTGCCGTGTTCTGCCTCCCTGAGACTCACCTCCATCTCCAGAGGTGGCCCATTTGGGGGGGGAAAAGTCCCCCTTTTTGGTCTGTCTCCCCCCACCCCAAACCAACTGACCTTATTTGGTGCTTAGAAGCTCAGATCCTGTCAACTTTCCAAGAGGTTGCTGAGGCAACCAAGCATAACCCCCCAAAAGAGAGAGAGAGAGAGATAATATTCTGCCAATGTTTTTTTTTCTTCTCTTTTCTGTTCTGCTTCCAAAAATTGAAAAAAGGGGGGGAAGGGAGAGTAAAATGGGAAGAGCTCTGGGGGAGGGGCTCAACCCATCTAAGACTGCTTTGCCTCTTACTCTACGCTTGTGTGGGTTGGCTCAGCTGAGCCAAACTCCCTAAAATGCTTATAGAGGTTCAGCCACAGAGAAACAGACAAGGGGAATGGCTGCTACCTAGACTGAATTTTGGGAAGCCCTCTCTATCTCACCCCTCCAAATGAAGGACCTCAGGACACTTACATCCCAAAGCTACAACACTACACATACTGTAGATTCCATTGCATGCTTTTTGCTAAAAAAAACAACGTTGCTGTGGACCGATGCTATTCCAACAGATTTTGGACGTTATATTCAATAAATGCTAAATATGTTAAATACAATATTACATTAAATGTGGGGTCCTAGATGCTCTCTGAGCTTGGTGGTTTTCTTGCAAACGTTTCATGACCCAACTAGGTAGCATCATCAGTGCTAGAAGGGAGTGTTGGCAAACCTCTCACACTGATGATGTTACCTAGTTGGGTCATGAAACTTATGGCAATTCCTTGATCAAATTCTCCATCTGATGGTATAAGCAGCCCATTCAGGACCTCACAATGTAGATTAAAGGTCACTTAAAAGGCAGAGAAATATTCAACCAGAGAGCAGTCAAGCAGACACACAATCTCCTGTGAATGTAACGTAACCCTATTTTCTTTGTAGGATGGGCTGTTCACACAACCACCCCCAAAGTCCTCCACATTAAACTCCAAGGCACCCCATTCCCTTATGACGTTGGTTATGCACAAAGGTTACACAAAAGAAGCTTGTGAGAAACCACGGATCTATCAATAACAAAGAACATCCAATCCTTTTAGTTTGACAAGGAAATACCTGGACAGCTTCTGTCAAATGGATCAGATAATGTTCATTCAATGGTTCAGGATGAGTACCTTGGTCTAAGCATCATCCCATATATCTGGGACCAGCAGCTACATCCAAAGAAAGCTGGTTGAGATCTTTAACCCTCCAAGATTCTCCTGAACCATTTCCATGTAGGACACTTGCGCAGGAAAGAATGAGTCATACCCTAGATTCTGTGCCTGCGTATATGTGTGTGTGTGTTTTACCATTTATAGTCAAAAGAGGGCTAGAAATAAGCTGTCACCAGATCCCCAGAGGACACATTCAGCCTCCATCTCATCTACCACATCTAAGTCTTATCTCCAAGGGCCATCTCTGGTAGGAAAAATCAGAGCGTGGGGCCATGGAACTCCATGTCAATGGTCAGGAATCTTTTCTTGCTCGCAGCTTCGAAAAAAGGAATTGAAAAATTTAGAAGATGTGCTCCTGAGTGACGGTTATCGACAATCATCTAGTAAACTGTCCTGTGTTGAATGTCTATGGAGACTCTCAGTCATTCAGGGCATGGTTAACCCAAAAAAAGATGCTTTTTCAAAAGGCAACTGGACTTCCTTTGTTTTTCCTTGAAGGTGTTTCTCTTCTCATCCAAGAAGCTTCTTCAGTTCTGACATTCTGACATTCAGTCAGAACTGAAGAAGCTTCTTGGATGACAAGCGAAACGCCTTCAAGAAAAAACAAACTCCAGTTGCCTTTTGAAAAAGCACCTTTGGGTATCCTGTCCCGATTTATATTCCACAATACATGAAACTGACCAAAGTAGAGAGAGAAACCAGAGGTGCTTCTGGAAGCTACGCATAAACCAAGTAAGGTTTTTTTTAAAAAACTCCATTTAGAGAAGATAAACTTGAAAGAAGGAAGGCCACATTCTTATAAACCAGTGGTGGGGAAAAATATTCTAATTGTAGGAATGAGGTGCATCAGAAGCAGGCCAGGTGTGCTCCTATTTTTACCTGTGGCGTTGGGGGCTCCACTTTCCTTTTCTTCTTTTGATTCTGCTTGTTCGTCCTTGGGTAGACCACCAGCATCTCCAACCACCTGAAGGCAAAAGGGCAAGTTGAGAATTGCCCCCACTGAATAAACGGGGACAGTGGAAGAGGAATAGCCAGACAAATTGAGCAACAGCTCCCCCTTCCTCAACCGATAGAGGCTCCTCTCCCCCTTTAAAAACACATCCACACAATGGGACACTCTGAAGAAATAGATCCCAACACAAGCAAGAGAGAACATGGAAAGAAGAGGGAAAAAAGACTCTCTAGAAAGATAAAATCAATTCTGGTTTTTCTCCTTCACCAAGGACCTTCACCTCAATGCTTCCTGCTCATTTCGAGGAGAGCAAGTAGAATAAAAGATGAAATGTAGGAGTGGGTTCACTGTTGGCCAACCTTTGCACAAATCCCATGCAGCTCACATGTATCACAACTGGGTGGGACAAACTGATGGCTCCCTAGATCTGAATTCCTCCCCACAACTCCTCTGGATGGTATTTTCCCAAGGAGCTACAGAACGTCCTCAACTACTTCTTCTCACAGCTCTGCAGGATGAACCTGTGATTCTACCATGTCCTGCAAGATACCAGGACCAGCTCCAGCATCTCCTGTCTACAAAAGCAGAGTCCAAAGCTCACCAGAAAAGCATCAAAGGCTGTTCCTCTCTTGCTCAATGAGTTCCATGCCCAAAGATATTTCCAAAGCCATGAGTGAGCACCAATCCATCTCTTCCCAAGGTCAGCAAACCACTAGCCACCCCCAGCACGGACCTAATACGTTCCCTCAGAACAATGTCAGCTCTGCCCGTCAGACCTGTCCCAGCTCGGACATTCAGGAAAGAAAGACCCTTGACTCCATTTGTGGCGAAAGGTATACACCTGGCTAGGTGGGCCACCATGTCTTTCCTCAGCAGTAAGGGGTAGACATTCTCAACACAAATCACATTTAGTAAACTACGCATAGACGGAGGGACCCATCCTTCTTTTCTTGAAGCAGCACGGGGGCTGCCCTGCGCGGCTTTACGGGTTGAAGGAACCCTCAGGCTAGGTTCTTATCCATAAAGGGCCGGAGTTCATCCAGTTCCCTTGGAGGTCACAAAATAGAGTTTCGGCTTGGATAGTCCCAGCGATATTTCTACGGAACAGTCCGTGGGGCAATGGGGGGGGGGGAAGTATGTCCGAGACCCACTTCATTGTTTATGCCTCTGAACAATCCCAGGTCTTCTTTGGACCTCAGAGAACTCAATCAGGAAAACAGGCCTCCCAGCAGAGGACGGGACCCGATTACCAAGAGGTGGCAAAGCAACCCATCTGAGAACCAGCCAATCTTGCTGAGCAGGTTAGATTCAGCTCAGCACTTGCCCATCTCTATGTCGCTGGGGCTCGGTGTGTTTGCACTTCCATTGCGTCTTACGTTTATCCCTTTCAGGATTTACAGGTTTTTAGCAGCAAGCACAACATAAATTAGAGAGTGACAATGCCACCCTGCCACAGCCTCCTTTAGATCTTTATGTCTGCTTCTGAGACTAGCACAGCCGTCTTAACTCCATCGTCCCCTGCCTCTGAGACATTCATCTGTATTTTGTTTCTAAGCCAACATGCGTCAGATAACTAAGAATAATCTGCAGCTTCCTGATACTGTCAGCCAGGGGTGGGCACCCTTGAGGCTGGCAGGATCTATTTGTGATCTGTTTGTTTTTTTTACAAAAACCAAGTTCTGCCAAGGGAGTTAATCTAAATCTCCTCATCTCTTTAAACAGAAAACATTTGTCCGAAGTTGGCCTCCAACTTTAGCTCAGGAAAGGAAGTGTGTTTCTCCCTTACACTTTCTGGAGACCAAGGGCTGGGATAAACAAAGGTAGTCTCCTTTGAGCACTGTGCAACTCCTAGTGAATTCACAAACACTTGTGTTTGCCCTGGCCATCTTCTCAGACCTCCTGGGACATCCATGTCTAGCCTGCATCTCCTGAATTTCTAATTATCTCTTATTTTCTATGGGAGAGCCACTAAGCCTGAATAATACGCCCAGACGCCCTTTGAACCAACATTGGAGTAGCATTCCATGCACCTTAGCCCATGTGACTTGCAACCTGAGGACCATAAGAAGGTGGTTCCTCAACCATGGTTAGATGAAGAACAAACCCTGTTCTTGATGGCCTCAGGAGCCAACCCCACCAGTAGACTTTGGCTACTCTCAAGCGCTTCCTGGTGCTCCGTTCTGAAGAGTTCTCATGTGCAGCCCCCACCCACTCGTTCCTGCCCCCAGCCCTTCGCTCACCCACTTATGATTTCCTTGTTCTCAGCTCGGATGAAGTGTTCCTTCTCGGGTGTCAAGATGCACAGCGAGAACTTCTGTCCGGTCCGATTCTCTCCATCCACAACATCTGTACACTGGTTCATGTTGATGGTTCCTTGTGGCAAAGTGGTGGGCTGGAAAGTAAATGGAGAACAATGAGCAAGTTAGAAGAGAAACTATGGAATGACCACCCTTAAGCTAGTCCTCAACTAATGGGCAATCATTTAGTGGCCATTGTAAATTACGACAGCGCTGAAGAGCGTGACTGGTCCTCCAATTTACGACCCTGCCTGGCAACCATCTCACATTTACGATGGTTGCAGCATCCTGGGGGTCAGAATTTGTGACCTTCTCAGGCATCTTATGTCAACGGGGGGCGGTCACAGGTTGCAGAGATGCAATGTTTCACTTAAGGACGACACCACTTCACAAAATCTTTCCAGTCCTAATTGTGGTCATAAGTCAAGGACTATCTGCAGTTTCTCCAAACTGAGTTTCTCAAATATGGCAGAATCACTTTGGGAATATTATAATGGTTTATTTTCAATATATTTTCCTTTCTAACACTCAGCATGCTTGGAAAAGTGTCTCTCTAGCCATTTATAAATAGAGATATTTTTAAAGCACTTCTACAACCTGATCCTCTACATATGTACTCGGGTCATCACAACTTTCAACATTTCAGATCCCAGTCCCTTTTTTAAGGCAGTTGAAGGTGAAGCCTGCCCCCCCCCCAGCCTGGTTTTCATTCCAAGTTCGAAAACACAAAACTTTGCTTCACCTTCCACCGTTTGGCCCCACCAACCGTCTGAGCTACGTCACACCCCTAAAACCAAGCTTTCCAAATCCTGCAAATTAAAACTTTAAAAAAAGCAAACTAAACACAGGCTCACCTCCCACTATTCTTAACACCGTAATTTTAAATGCCGGTTTTAAAATTGGCAGCTACCTCTTTCTGGGAAGCAGCATTTCCCCCCCCCCACCAAAAAAAGAAGACACAACATTGACAGGGGCTAAAAGTATTCCAAGAGGAAGACGGAGCCAAGAAGAGGTTACATCCGACTTTCTCTACTGTGGTTTCCATCCGAAAAGTCATCTCCGTGACTCACACCCCATTGCCAAGATCCACACACGCACACACACACACACACACACACACACACACACAAAACGTTATACTCTCTCCAAATGTCGTCTTCTTCTTTTTTGCAATTTTCTCCCATCACCAAACCAATACATACACACAAACAGACACAGACACACATACAAGTAGTGCTCGACTTACGTCTACCTGCAACGGGGACCAGAAATCTGGTCATAAGTCACTACGGTCATTCTAAGAAATGCACCTGACAGGGAACAGGCAAAAGAAGTATGGTATATAAGCACTGGGTGCGCAAGAGTTCCTTCAAGATTTGCAGACACATCAGAGAAAAAGAAGAAACAATGAGAGCACAAAACACAACGGTGGGCTCTGGGATGCATTTGCTTCTTTACTTCATGTTTGTCTCAAACTGTGCGGTCCGTAGGTCATAGAGACCACCATTCTCCACCTGTTCATAGCTTGGGTCCTCAGGAAGAGGAACTAATCAAGGAGAGAAGCAAGCTGGAAGTAAGGAAGAATTTCCTGACAGTGAGAACAATTAACCAGTGGAACGGCTTGCCTCCAGAAGTTGTGGGTACTCCAACACTGGAGGGTTTTAAGAAGAGATTGGACAGCCATTTGTCTGAAATGGTATAAGGTTTCCTGCCTGTGCAGCGGGTTGGACTAGAAGACCTCCAAGGTCCCTTCCAACTCTTATTCTGTAAGACTGTGAGACCCTCCCCAGATCTGCTGCTAGTCAGCAGAAACCGCACCAAGGTTCCACACAAATGCCTTAGTGTGATGGCTCTGATGCAGGCACAACATTCACATGTGGAAAGAAGAAGGTGGGAGGAAGAAGAGAAGCAGTAGCCAAATCTGCTTTTTGCTGGAGGGACGGTGACAACCCTGCCGGTTCTCCTTCTAGCGTTTCAAGGAAGGCTGTGGTGAGATCAGCCAGAGGACACATTAAAAGAGGTTTGAAGTTTACTCAAGACGGACAGCCAGTCTAAACAGCAGCCAGCCAGGAGCAGAGAGGTGGATGACAAGGTTGAAGAGCCATGGATGGCTTCCCCTTAACCCCATCTGGTCCTTAGAGGAGGGATAGAGAGAGAGAGAGACCACTAGTGACTTTGTTCTTGGACTTTCCAAAGCTTTGGAGAAGTCTTCTTAGACTTTTCCTGAACTAGTGGGCCTCCTTAAGCCAACATGGATTTGATCCTAGCAACTTCCATTTTATGGGGGAGGGAACCAGATGGGTCTGAAAACCGGAAACTGAAATCGATGGTTCTCATCTGGCATGGAGTCAGGACTCCCCTTTAATAAGGGAAGAGTTCAGAAGACTCTCTCCCCCTTGGGAGACAACCCGGCTCTCTGATGCTCCAGCTGCGAGAGATTATGAGCATGTTTAGCCTGGAGGAGAGAAGACTTCAAGAAGACATCATAGTTGTCCTCTGTTATCTGTCACGGAGAAGATGAGGCCAAAGAGTTTGGAGTTGCTCCAGAAGACAAGCCAATAAGAGCAAGGCTTTGGTGATGGAATTACGGGTCACCCGTTGAACCGTTGAGTGATGCCTCCAGAATTGATTTGGCAGGTGTTGTCTCGCTAGAGTTACTCTCTAGTCATTTCCTCCAGAGGTTGTGGGGTGTTTGGGGAACGGTCCTGCAGAATCCAGAGGGAAGGGGCTGGAGAGGAGGATTCTGAGCGTTGCAATCCCAATATTTCTGGAAGGCGGATGCTGGGGAAGAGATTTGGGTTGGGAAGCTGGGCTGTTCAGCAGGCAAGTCACAGTTGCAGGCAAGCATCCCCTTATAAGGAAAAATGGTCTGAGACCAAAAAAAAAAAGCTTGTTTGATTCGGTTGCTGAGAGAACAGGGGGTGGGAGGGGGAGGGGGAAGACCTTGCTGCGCAAATCATCCCAGCAGCCCGGTTAGCGTTAGCCTTTTAGCTGATTGCCAGCCCAGCTAGAAGCATGTCAGTGAAATCTGTGTTTAAATGCACATGTCTTGAAACTTGTTGAGTTGGAAACGGAGGGAGAAGGAGAGCATATAAGTTAATGGCAGGACAAATACTTTCTCCAAGTCCCCTGCATTTCCCTTCTTGCTCTGGGTTCAAAGAATTAATAATGACACCAACAGCCTCGGTCTATCGTTGGTTGTTAGACCAAGTATTCAATCTCTTGGGATGAAGAGTGACAGTCCAAGGGTGTTTGAGTAGAGGAGGTCTAGAAGAAGACCTAAACAGAGCTAAAAAGGAGATGTCTACTAGCAAGGTCAACCAAGACAACATGGCTTGACGGCAGCCATGACTACATATTAATCGGAAATCCTGCCTCTATTTTACATGTGAAAAAGAGATGAGGTCTCAATTATAGGGTTGCAGCCATTATCTTGACTTCTGGACCTTCCAAACCCACTAGAGCTGGGGTCTTCAAACTTGGCCCTTTTATGACTTGTGGACTTCAACTCCCAGAATTCCTCAGCCAGGCACGCTGGCTGAGGAATACTGGGAGTTGAGGTCCACAAGTCATAAAAGGGCCAAGTTTGAAGACCCCTGCATTACAGACATCCCTGGAGATGTCAACTTGTTTCTCCATGGGGCTCCTTGAGAAACAGCTAACACCAGAATTGTCTAGCGGAAAAGGCAAAACACTGTAAATAGGGTTGTGTGTGTCTTCAAAAGGGGAAAAAAGACAGAGGAATATTTAGTTCTGTGCATTGGCACCCACTTGCTAACAGATGGTCCTCTACATCTCCAGGTAAGGTCTGGGAAAGTCCAAATCCTGATGTGTAAAGTACCAGATGGCTGCAATTAATCCATCTCCGTGGAAAACCATTTCCTGTGTTTCTCACAAGAACAGTCTAATCCGAAACAGCATTTTCGATACCTTCTGACTAGCATAGAGAGAGGATGTGCAACCATTTCTTTCCAATTCTGCATCTGAGAACCAGACAGAAGTTCAAAGATACTCAGAGGTCTCCTACACGGCCCCCAGGATTCAAATCGGCAGCTCCGTTTTAGGAACAGCTGCATCTGTAGGTATCCATTGCCAACTGGGATTCAGAAAGAAAAGGACCTGTGTCTTCTTAACTCTTCTACAAATAGGCCTATTGTCTGGGAAGGCGGGAAGTAACCTCAACATAATTAGTGTAACACAATTAGTACTGTTTGGGATTGCCAAACCCAAACAGTAGCAAACGCCTCCTTATAGATCAACAAATTGATCGGGACAATCAAATCACGTGTCATCTGCTGTCATGCCCAGCGGTTGCTCCATCTTAGCAACCTACCTGGTCAACATCCCAAGGCCCACGTTCAACCGTACATGAACAGACTGGACTTCTGTGTAAGCTTAACTCGCTACTGAAAGTTGATGTTTTTGTCAACACTGGAGACCACAATCACCCCCACTGTGGTTCCCAATGCTGGAAAACATGAGAAAGCAACAGCAAACAGGGGGTCAGATCCTCTCAAGCTCTCCAGCGGGGATTCATGCCAAAGTCACGGCTGATCTTTTCTGGATGACCAATGACAACGTCTCCCGTTTCCTTTTGGGAAAGGATGAACACTGCTCAAAGGGGTAGTGAAAGCAAGGCGGTTCCTATCTTTACTCCTTGACTCACGCAGGGGGGATTTTCGCTTCCCGTTAGGGGCATCAGATGTGGGGAAAGGCCTCTGGTCCCTCCTGGTCAGCAGAGAAAGTCTGTGGAAAGCCCACCACCTCCCATCAAGATTTTCTGCCCGAGCCCTTCCCTTTCTCGTTAGGGAATGCTGGAGTCCTTCCCCTGGCTGTGAATTTAATTCTCCTTTTCCAAACTCCTTGCACAAAGCTCCCAGTCTCTTGCACATGCACAAACACACGTACACATAGCCCAGCATATCTGGGGCTCCGACTCAAAATGCATTTGTCGACAGGATGCTGGAAAGCAGAGCTCTGTGCAAGGAACAATCCTGGAGAGGCCGGAAGAGGCGTTGCTACGCGACCGTTTATTTCTGCTGCCGAAGTAAAAATAGAAAATGGAGGAGACAACAGAGGACCTGAAAGAGCGGCT